AGACGTGGAGAGAGGGAGTGATTTTCCGCCCACCTGAAAACTTTTTTATTGCGCCCTGAGATTTCACCTCGACAGCAACAACAACAAACACAATATCATTTTTTATTCATGTTTCATTTTTTGGCCTTTTGGGGACGAGCAAATCATATTGTTTAGTTCATAAAATATCAGTTCTATCAATCAAACGTGGAAAAATTGTGTTCTGACAAGTTGCTCATTCGGTCCACGATGTAGTGAGATTGAGATGAAAGGAAACAAAGAAGAGCAGCGAACAAGCAAATCTACGGAACCCCTGAAGTGCCAAAAGGTTCAAAAAGTATCTTGTGCACAATATAGGCCAGCGAAATCCTTAATTCATTTTATAGCATTAACAGGACGTGTCTTGTCGTGGTGGCGGCCATGACAGACATGAGATGCTTATCGTTGCCATGGAAATACCGGATGTTATGTCAAAGACCGGTAACCCCCCCCCCACCGGATTGTTGAAGGGCGGTCTGCCTCCCCCCACCTTGCTCCCTATCCCTCTTCCTGTATCTTATCCCATCTCTCCCCCTATCCCTTTCCAACCCCGGTGCAGTCCAGACCTGTGAAGGCTGTTTCGTCATAAGACAGTTTTTTTCTTACCACTGTAACTTTTGCTGCTTTGCTAAAGTGCTCATGATGGATAGGCCGGGTCTTTGTAACATAACAATGAGTAAGGTCTTTCACCTGCTTTTTGTAACATAACAATGAGTAAGGTCGTTTTACCTGCTCTTTTATAATGTTAACAGACATAGAGTAAGGTAGTTTACCTGCTTTTTGTAAAGTGTCTTGAGATAACACTTGTTATGAGTTGACGCTATACAAAATAAATTGAATTGAATTAAACATATTCTCTTCTTCGGGGGGGGGGGGGAGGAGGAGCAGAGAGATTCACTCCCATGATTCCCCATCAGCCTCGACATCATCTTTTGTTTTTGTTTTGATTGAGAGCCCCTGGTGGTGGATTTCACATACTGAAGATGCATTACATTTTGATAACATTTTAATCATACAGATCATATGTCCAGATGCTGGGGCGCTGGCTGATCCTCCAAGCGGCCCAGGTTCAAATCCAGCCTGTGGCTCCTTCCCCACATGTCATTCCCCCACTCTCTCTCTCCCTGATTACCAACTCTATCCACTGTCCTATCTCTCTAATAAAGGTACAAAAAGCCCAAAAATAAATCTTTAAAAAAAATATTTCCAGATGCTTTAACCTTTAATTGCAGAACTCTGTACGCTGTTCAGATCATTTACAGTTTGCTCTTTTAAACACTGATATGAGCAGTGAAGAAAGCTCCTGACAGCCACATGGAGAGCTCTGTAGGACGGCTCAGTGAAAATCAGAGCTGAGAAGAAGGTGGCATATGACACTCTGACAGTACGACTTACATCACCACCCTGCTGACTCTTCACACCTCTCAGACTTTGAGTGTCCGATCTCACACAGCAGCACGTCAGCAGCCCAAAAACACCAGAACGGACATCCAGCTGGTTTCTCTCTCTCAGCTGAAGACCTCGCTGCTTAAATGTAATGAACTACCCTGCAGGGCGTCGCATCAAAATGTTTATATCTTTGTAGTGACTCAGATCACCAGCACATAAATGTGGCTGTTCAGATATCAATCAATCAATCAAACTTTATTTATACAGCACCTTTCAGACAAATTAAATTGCAGTTCAAAGTGCTTAACAAGAGGGCAGAAAAGTTATTGACGAAAAAGTAGTTTATAAAATCATTGAGAGACTAATGCACACCAATAAGAACTAAAAAAAATATGTATAAAAAATAAAAAATAAAATACGACACATAAAAGAAATACGATATTAAAATTAATACATAGGAGAAGAATATTTAAAATTGTAGTAGGATAAGAAAGATAAAACGATAATGTTAAGTTTTGAATTTGTATAAAAGCCAGACTGAATAAATGAGTTTTAAGATATTCTCCTCTCAGACCGTCAGGAAGGTTGTTCCACAGTCTCAGAGCGTAACAGCTGAAAGCAGCATCACCAAAGGCTTTTGTCCAAAGGTGTTATGCAGTCGGATAAAAATATCCAGTTTGTTTTGTCTTTGTGATTAATGATGAAATGTCATTTCTTAAATCACTCTAGTCTTGGATCTCCTTTCTGAATCCCAACAACACCAACCTGCCGGGCGTTTCCTGACATTCAGAGCGAACAGCTTCGTCTGCTGCTGCACGCTCGCTGAAAGAGACAAAAGCGACCCGACTTCTCAGACTTTAATAAAGAGCAATGCATCAAACACAAACAGCAGCAGTGAAAGAGCACAAAAGACAGACGGGAAAAACAACTTTGACAGGCGACACAAAAGGTGAGACGAAACCTTTTCTCTATCCAATGTGTTTTCAGACAATATGTTATGAGTTTTGCTGTAGAAGAAAAAAAACCTTTTCTTCAGATGAGGAGGAGGACGACGACGTGGTTAGTTTGCAGGAACGTGTGTGACGCAGGTCTTTGTTACCTCCTGAAGGCTGCTTTACTGAAGTAACTGCTTTACGAGGTGTTTACTCCTTTTTCAGTCGATAGACAACGACTTCTGTAAATTTCTGCAATTTTAACTCTAATCTCAAATCTCACCTGAGGTCAAGGGGGGGAGGGGTGCTGTGGCTCAGTGGCAGAGTTGATCGTCTCTCAACAGGAAGGTCAGGGGTTCGATCCCCAGCTCCTGCAGCCACATGTCCGATGTCTTCTTGGGCAAGACACTTGACTCAAAGTTGCTCCCGCTGCTTCATCGCTGGAGTATGAATAGATTACTTCTGATGGACACACAGCAGCCTCTACCATCAGTGTGTGAATTTGTAGGTGTGACCTGCTGGGTAAAGCTCTCTCCAGTGTTTTAAATTTGGATTGCAGTACCCATTTTAAACACTAGAGGGATCCTTTCAGAAGGGGCGTTTTTATTCAAATGAAAAGTGAAGCAGAATTCTCCCCTTCAGAAATGACTGCACAAGAAATGCTATCATTTTATTTTGTTCATAACATCCAGAGTAGCTCCAGTTTGTCTGTTTCTGACGAGTCTGAGGTACACTGCACTCTGCAGAGTATGGAGAGATTAATGTTAGCATGAGACAGACGTTGTAGAACTGTAGTGTAAAGACATCTTCCAATGGGTATTATCAAACTAATAGTTCTGCATTTCTGCAAATTTGAATAAATGAGGATACTTTTCAAAGTTGAGAAGGGTGGCATAAATAAATGTACTGAGTGCATCCCCCTCCACGTCCCCTCTGCCTACAGATTAACGACATCCTCCTCATACCTGAAAGCTCTTCTTTGAAATGCCAGTTTATGTCGTCATCACCCCCCCAATCCCACACGACATCTGAGGGTTTTTTTTTTGTTTTTCACATTTGGACGCCTCGGTGGCATTTTAAAAAAAGTGTTGCACTCAGACCCAAAGAGCAGGAGTGTTTCACAAAAAGGTCAACGCTACTTTGCCGCCTTCACTCTCCTCGCCATCCCAGCCGCCAAAACAAACAAAAGGATGTGCTTCACATGAAAAGGTTATGTGCAGACCAACATAGCTGTGGTGTTTCCCATTAGCTTTACTTTTTCTCCAGTTGAATGTGACTCTGACCAATATTTGACGATTGAGGATTTATATTCTCTGTGTTTAAAAGTTTTATTCTTCTCAGCAAAGATGATATTTGGATGAAAACTGTCTGAAACCATCCGCCAGTGTTTGACAACGATGTAGCCTGTGGGAGCAGTGGTCACCTTTTCAGGGCTTCTGGTGCCGACAGCAGTCAGCAGTAATAGATTTTTGCCTCAGACTTCCTTCAGTGGCCTTAGTTACACCTACCGACTTCTCGAGCGATTTCAAAGTCACAGACGATTTCCAAAGTCGGGATCAAATCACAAGGATCTTGGTCGAGTTGGGCGCAATCGCTGTGGTTTGGTGTAAGGCGGTCAAAAAACTCAATCTTTTTCTTGTCATTCAGTGGCATGTTTGATATGATCGCAGGGTTTAGTCTTGTCTTGTGCAAATTGTGTTGTTTAATGACGAGGCCGTTGACAACCACCAATAGGAGGAACCACCTAACAGCTCCAAACCTGTAAACACAGCCAGGAGAAGGAACGTGCAGCTCTTCTGGACTGTGGAAAATTGGGGAAACTGCTGTTGTGGGGAGAAAAGGTTAAAAAGCTCCAGCATCAATTATTATTATTTATTTATTTTATTATTTTTTTTGATACTATTCTTCTCAAATGTACTTTTATTTTTTCCACACTTATCTACTTATTTTTTATTTAGTTATTGTATTTTGTTTTTTGTGAGTTTTCCACTCTTTGACTTTTATTCTTGTCTATTTGTTAGACTGGGAGGGTTGTTTATAGGGAGAAGTGATACTGGGTTTTTGAATGTTTCTGGGGAAAAAAATAAAAATGCACTGTATGTCTTGAACCTGCTTTAATAAAGATATGTTGGAAAAAAAAAAAAAAAAAGCTCCAGCAACACTTGGAGAATAAAGATCTCCATACTCCAAGTGCTGCTGGATCTTTTTGACCTCTTCAAGCCTTTCACTCTCCATGACCTTTGATAGTTGATGAAGAAATCCTCTGCTCTGCTTCTTCAGGAGTAGTGGAGAGACTACCTCTGACATTAGAGCAGAGAAGGAAAAATCCCCGGTGAGAATGCTATGTTGCTTTTGCCAATTTGTTTAATCCCTGACATCTGATTACTGTCCAGCTATCTTTATTCTACTTCCTCTCTATGTTTTCCATGTTTTGCACTGTGTTGCACCTGTAATGGTTAAACCTTTCTTCACATAAAAAAAGCTGATTTTGAAACTGAGTGTGGCATGCTGTTAGGACACGGTGTCAGGGAGTGTTGCCCTGAAGTGTTGTGGAGAGTTCTTGAGGATAGACACAAACAACCAATTAGTGATCTGGGGGATCGACCCTGCTGGCCTTTGAAAGAGTCCATCCATTATCCATACCACTTTTCCTGTTCGGGCTCACAGGGGATTGGAGTCGATCCCAGCTGTCATTGAACGGGAAGCGGGGTTACACCCTGGACTGCTCACCAGCCAATCGCAGGGCTGACATAAAGCCACACTCACATTCACACCTACGGGTGATTTAGAGTCACCAGTTAACCTAACGGGCATGTCTTTGAAAGCATGCAGGTTCTCCACAATAAGGGATCAATTCAATTAATTTTATCTTGATTTTATGCCTTTTATTTTGTCTCCTTTGCTCATTCAAACACAGCGCTCGTTAGCTGTAGGCTACATTCGTTTGCTCAAAGGCACCATTCATGACTCCATCACTTACCCCAAACTTCCACAGGATGCATACGCATTGCCGGAGATTATTCCCATCATGCATCTGGTGGAAATTTACAAGATGAAAAACAACAATGGAGCAGAAACAGAAGCAGCTTTTGGTCACAGTTTCTCTTTTATGTGTGTTGGGGGGTTTGCGTTATCTGTGGTGTTAGAAGCCGTGACGTTAGCTGGGATTAGCATTCAGAACAGGCGGGCTGCACGGGGTGACAGTGTTCTTATAAAGGATCAGAAAATAAATCTGAAGGTTACGAGTCATTGGTACAATAAATAAATGACGGGGGATGACAAATTCTGAATCTGTGTTCACACTCTGCACCTTTCTCTAATCCTGGCTAAGAAAATGTATTTAAATGAAACCATACAGGAGGTTAAGAGGGAAAGTGTCTCCACAGGGAAAGAAGCCAAAACTAGACACTTTGACACTTCTTTTGTTGGATCACAGGCCAAACACTGATGTAGTGAATTATATAACAGTTTGATGTATTCTTAAAGGATCCCTGTGGAGGATTTCACCTTTTGCTCAATAGAGCCATTTTTAAATGTGCTAGAAGGAACGCTGGTAGCTTATAGTGGTTTATTGCATGCGCCCCAAACGGAGGTTCTCCAAGCGGGCGGCCCAGGTTAAAATCTGGCATGTGGTTCCTTCACCGCATATCATTCTCCTCTCTCTCTCTCCTCGGTGGATCAGCTCTTCCAAACACTTCCTCTCTGACTCTGTACTCTCTGAGATCAGTGTCAGTGTCGGTCTTTATTGTGACTCAACATAAAAGTTTCCAACTCATTCACATTCTTTGATAATCTGCAATAAAAGTGTGCAGGGAAAGCTCCATTAGATGTGAACGTCATGCATTAGAAATATGTTGAAATAATCAAATTTCATCCCATCATTTTGTGCACACAAAACGTGGTCACCGCCATCACATATCCAGATATCTTTATCTACCAAACAAGCAGAGTTAGTTTTATGGAGACTTTTCTTTCCCTCCCTCGCTCAGAGTCACTCTGAAAATGTTTCTAAACCACTCCTAAGCTAAGACTCCTTACTAGACTCTTTTAAGATGTATGACCTTCTATTCCCTCAGTGCCTCCTTTAAACTCTTCTTCTGAGCAGCATGATGTTCATTTAGTAACTTTAAGTCTCATTTAGAAGAAAACAGAGGAATGCTTTAGATATATCCATCTATCTATCCATCTTGTTTCCTCTTTGAATGAGGATATTTCTACCGACGGCAGCTGTACTTTATGAAACTTTTTTATGAAGCAACACTGACATCTGCTGGCAGAGCGTAAGATTACACCTCATGGACTTAATGAAAATGTGAGGCTCAGAGGTTGAATGTGTGTTAGGTTCAAAAATTACCCTCAGCACACCCGCTGCTAAAAACATGAAAAATGAATCTCTGACAAAATCACATCCCTTAAAAAAATAATGGTGTTAGTCATCCCTTTAATGGCACACATCCGAGCACTGAGCTTCGGCAGTCAGACGTCCTCCTCCTTTATGACTACTTCACGCTGTCCGCCCCAGCAGAGCAGCAGGATGAGAGCCACGAAGAGCGTCGCGCACACACAGAACACCTGCTGCATGTTCAGACATGATACATGTGATGCATGGTTAGAGGGATCATTGCTTCTCACAACACATGAATGCAGCGTAATTAAATTGGTAACCAAAATTCTCCTAACTGCATTTCTTCATCTCTCAACCCCTCGTTTCCCCCGATCTAAAACGTACAAAGATCACATGAGTCCAGTAGTCCAGCTCTTCCATGGTCGGGTTATTCTGGTCTCCATCAGACTTGTTCTGATCCAGGTAGTTTACGTTCAGGTTGAGGACCCCGACGGGCAAAACCCGGATCCCCCAGTAGACCCTCTTCACCCTGCGGTAGGAGGCATCCCGCACGTCACAGCAGTAAGTTCCTGAAAATGACACAGGAGCAGCGTCGCATGCTGTTAGGACAGGCTGTTAAACCATGTATACAGTTCAGTGTGTGTGTGTGTGTGTGTGTGTGTGTGTGTGTGTGTGTGTGTGTGTGTGTGTGTGTGTGTGTGTGTGTGTGTGAGCATAGGTGTGTTTACCTGCGTCCTCCTCCCTAACCGGATCAAGAACCACTCGATCCAGCAGAGGAGCGTCCCAGCGAGCGAACAGGAAGTCATCAGAGCTGATGATTCCTCGAGCCAAACGCCAAGACACCCTGAGACATGGGAGAAAAAAATCTATAACACTGAACACTGCCAGCAGCCATCTTTATTCCAGCCCTGCTCAGATCAGGCTGTTTCTGTGTCTGTACCTTTAAATATGTAAATGAGCTGTGTCTGACCACGCCCCCTCTCTGGAAGGGCTTGGGTGGCTTGGGCTTTCTTGCACCATGTTCACAGTGAGAAGGCAGACTCAGAGGGCAGAACAAACACCTAGCTGTGGGAGTGTCACCCACCTGGGGGAGGGGCTACTGCCCTTTGTGATGTCATGAAGGGAAAATCTCCAAACAGCCTGTTTGAGCACACATTTTCTGAAAAGTGGAGCAGGCAGAAGACAGAGAGGATGGACTTTTCTCATCATTGGGGGGTTTGTAATAAAAAACTAGGGACACATATTAATGTTAGAGAAACATGGTGAAGTGGATTTTGCAGAATATGTGACCTTTATGTCTGCAGCTTCACTTTTCAACACTGAAAGTTACTGCTTTCTTTGACTATGTAGATTTTTGTATGGTATCAAGACGCTCAAGCTTCTCATCAAGACGTACCTTGGAAGTGACTCTGGTTTTCTTTGCTGTTTGTTGCACATTTTACATTATTTTTATAAGATAAGATAAGATAAACTTTATTCATCCCAGCAGGGAAATGTAGGTGTTCCAGCAGCCAGCATACAAACACAACACACAACACATATATACATACATATCCCACCCATACAAAAAAACATGTGTCCACAATACAGTTTGATATATGATATATGCAACTCAGGCTAAAGTTTAAAAGTTTAAATGTCTTCTGTCCTTACTTAAAGGGGAGTCGTTATAAAGTGCAATTGAGAGATTGCACCGGAGAGTGAAAACTCCACCTGCACTTTGTTATACATTCAGCCTATTTCGTCTTTCATGTCAAAATATATTTATAAAAAAAGAAAAGAAAAATTCTGCATGGTATTTTTGAGGACTGTGACTAATTATATCAACATTTACATGTCTTAATTTCCCTCCTCCATCGTCACCTCCAGGAGAACCTCCCCACCGCCTCCATGACGTCTCCCACACAGTCGACCTCCACCCTCTCTCCTGAAGTCACAGTCATGGTCATGAGTCCACACTGCCACGACTCCTGACACCTCACCTTACGAACACGACACTTCTCCGACACCTGTGAATAAACCATTTCACCATGAAGAGAACATTTAATAAACTTCAAACATCAAACATGCCTTATTTTATTTTTTTATACCTGTGCTCTGTCTCTTCTGCTCACATCCTCCTTCATGGCTGTCCGTCCATCTTTTAGCAGACACAGGGTTTGTGTTTTCACACCCAGCCCACAGGTGGCACTGCAGGGGGAACTGTCCACAATCACCTCCAGAGGCAACTTCTCCGCCTCCTCCAGGTGAGCTGAGGTCAGAGGGTGCAGAGCGAGGAGGAGGAGGAGGAGCCTGACAATCCCAGGATGCATTTTGCTGATTGAAGGGAAATCTGCTGAAAACAAAAAATGTGTTTTTATTTGTCAATGATATAGAGAACATGTATTAACTTCTTTGTCAACAAATGTTGTTCAGATCGTATACACTATCTTCATGTAGGCTTCATGAGAAATTGCTTTCTTGTAACTTGTTTGACCAAATTGAACAACTGAAATCAATCCGTCTGCTCACCTGCAGAGCAAACATGACGATGATACTTTGAGTTTTAAGGTCCAGTTTAAGCTGCAGGAAAAATCAAATTAGACAAATCTTCTCATGACAATAACAACAAACCTCACCTGTTTAAGTTAGTTGTTTAAAAGTATTTTTTATTGAATGTGTTGTCATGACAACGAGAGTCCCAAGCAGCAGGTTACAAATCAACAACAGAGTCTTCTTTAACTCCACCAACTCAACTGGTTCCACTAACTAACTCAAACTAGACTGTTGCTAAGCAACCCAAACATTCTATTCAACTGTCCATGGTTACCACAAAGCGGCAAGTGAGGAACTTCATCGTGACATTAGAGTCTGTTGTGAGATTGATGAATAAGGTCAAACTGTAAAAGCTGTAAATGTAAAATAAAAGTATCCAGAGCTCCTGGCTCTGAAGAGGAGGGATACATAGTCCCAGTCCCAGTCCAGTCCCAGTCCAGTCCATTCCCCCAGTCCCAGTCCCAGTCCAGTCCAGTCCAGTCCCAGTCCTAGTCCCAGTCCATTCCCCAGTCCCAGTCCCCAGTCCAGTCCAGTCCCAGTCCCAGTCCATTCCCCAGTCCTAGTCCAGTGTAGTCCATGTAAACACACTCGACTTGAGTATCCTGGTTTTGATGGTCATGGAATACCTCTTGTCCAATCAGATTTCTTGGTCAAATCTCTTGTATAAAATATGATATTTATTTATTTATTTGTATTTGAGTCTATCTGATATATTGACCTTAAAAGTAAAAGTTTTATGCAACATGTTATCTTATAAGTTTATAGTCTATGTAAAATATCAAAGCAGTACAAAATAAACCTCCATGTTTTTTCATATACTGGGAACTGCAAACTCTTGAAACATATGTTCAGGATATTTTCAGGAATAAATTCAAGAAATGTGTTAACAAATTTAATTAACGAGTAAAAACATATTCTGGAGTATATTTTATTGTCCTGAAAAGTTGAAGGCACAGTTGCAGTTCTGAACCTGACCACCAGGTGTCAGTGTCAGTCTGAAGTTTTGGATAGCCGTATGTGATTCACATTACATCTACAGTTGAAAATCCTAATGTCTCCAATAAAAGTGGAGAGAGATGACAGGAGTGAAGTTGTGTTTTCATGTGCATCAGGTATTTTATGTTTCCATCCTGAGGTTTCCCAGTAACATGTGAAACTGATGAAAACAAACAGCCTGGCCAGAGCAGCATGTTGCAGTTTGAAATATGACCACCAGGGGTCAGACAAAAACCACAGAGGCTCAGCAGATACCCAGCACAGCAATCAGAACTAAACGTTACAAATGCAGAAGATTTTGTAGTTTTTTGTTCAGGCTACTGATTGATTTATGACGACTAATCAGATTTTAATTTAGGATTGTTTATTATATAGCAGCAAATACAGTCAACTAATACCACAATAACTGTAGAATAAAGGGCAGTGACAGGAGTAAAACGTCAGGAATAAAACCCACACAAGACCTAATGATGATTTTAAAGAGTGATTTTCTTAAAGTGGCATTTGAAAGTAACGCTGGGAAAGTCATGTTGACAAAAAACAGAACCGTATTGGTGTCTGTGTTTAGTGGGGTGTGAATCTCTCCTTTACAAGTTTTTTAATTAAAGTTCTCCCAATAAAGAATAAGATTATCTGATGTTATACCTCTTATAACTTGTTTATTTTTTAAGATTTATGTTTTGGCTTTTTGTCCCTTTATTGGAGAGATAGAACAGTGGATAGAGATGGAAATCAGAGCGAGAGAGAGAGAGAGAGAAAGTGGGGATCGACATATGGGAAAGGAGAGACAGTCTGGTTTTGTTAAGAGATCCAGAAGAACTGTGAGAGTGGTCCTTATCAGGCCTTACCGTGTGTGTGTGTGTGTGTGTGTGTGTGTGTGTGTGTGTGTGTGTGTGTGTGTGTGTGTGTGTGTGTGTGTGTGTGTGTGTGTGTGTGTGTGTGTGTGTGTAAAACCGCACAGTGGAAGGAAGACACAACGGGACTGGGATGAGGGGGAGGAAGGATGGGACAGAAGAGGAGAGGGTTTGAACTGGAGGACAAAGGTGAGATGGAGGAGAGGAGGAAGAGGGGGGACGGGTAAGCCCATTAGTGATCTCAGTTTACAGATTCTACATAGAATTGAATGTAAGAGTTTAGTAAGGGAAGTGGGGTTTTTGCTAGTAGGAATAATCCAATAGACACTCCCAATGTGAGCGTAAGTCTCCCTTTTTTAACCATTTGTCCCTCTGTACTCCCGATTGGTCATTGAAACCAATCAAATGGGAGTTTTTCAGCTTCTATGCGGGATATGAGTCATAAGACCTGGCAACCCAACTGGAGGCAGCTGCAGAGGCGTGTCCAGAGGACTGGTATAGGCCCCCCCTTTGAAATCTGATTGGCCACCCCAAAATCTAAATATTTGATTGGCTATTTGCCTAATCGGAGGCGGGACTTACGGACAAATCCACTATTCTGGCAGGTTCAACAGGCAACCTTCAGTTGTAAATAAATATTTTGCTCTTTCTATAGAAGGAAAAACATGTGCACACTGTCAAACTAGCAATGTACTATCCAATAAATGTATTACATCATGACATCTAAGCCTTTATGTAACTTACTATTTACAGATAAACTGAGACTCACCAGAAACAGGTGAGGGGCGCTTCTTTAGGGTTACAGTTAGGATGTAGAAATGAACCAAGAAATTACAGTGATTATTTTGCAGACCTGTCTTGAGGTACCGATTTTGTTTCGCGCACATGCATGCTTCCAAAGCTGCCAAATAGACTACAAACAAGGCAACACTGAGAAAAAGGGCGTTTTGCCTGAAAGTGGTTTTGGCCAACCGCTGGCTACACCACAATTATAAAGAAGTTTGGTATTATTCCCAGAGATAGCCGATTCAAACATATTGAACAATCCTACCCCACTTACAGTAGATATCTTACATATTGGACTTTTTTAAAGGTGCCCCAAAAACTAAGTTATGGATGCAGAAAGTCGTGTACACAGATTTATCAGCTTCTCAGTTTCGAGTTGCATGACGTTTAAAGCATTTCTCAACTTCCTACAAGGAAGCAACTAGCAGCAGTTTAGAGTGGCACGCCACATGAAAGAGGGAGAGTCAGCACTTGTGAGAGAGTTCTGAGTTAGAGCTGGAACAATGTGAAAACAAGGTTTGTCTTATGTAATCATTCGAGGGTTTTAAAGAAAAAGGAGCTTTTAAAGAAGGACGAGTTCGTGGTGGAACAACCTCAGGTTAAGTCAAATCCAGAAGTGTTTTAGTTGAGTTAACAGAAGAAGAGAGTCGCCTCATGAATCCCATTTCCTGAACATGAGGTTTGGACTTTGAGCCGTTTGCAGACAGAGGGGGAGCGATGACCGAACACCTGCTGAAAATCCTGGTTGTTGGGGATGGAAATGTTGGGAAAACTTCCTTTGTTCAAAGATACGTCAACGGACAGTTCAACAAGTCGTACAAGATGACGGTGGGAGGTATGGCTAGTTTGGTTTGTCTCTGTTTTGTACTCTGCATTATGTTTATGTGAGTTAAAGTTGCAAGCTTTGCACCAAAGTTATGGGCAACTTCAGGCCCTCAGATCAAAGAAAAACTCTAAATGTCTCGATAGAACAAACTGTCCTTTGACTTGATGTAAATTCTATAAAATAAAACAGTTCAGTCTTTAGACCCTTATCAGGTAAACACCACATACTATGGATGTGTTGAGAAATCTCCGGTGCATATAAAGTTTTACAATCTTGTTCCAAATACTTCTTGAAACAGACGCAACTATTTCACAAAAATGTCCAATTTTGCAATTTGCACTGGGGGCTCTCGGCTGCCAAATCTTACAAATCCATACCCACACACATCTACACAGGATGCACAGGTGCTTAATCTGTTGGCAGGGATTCAAAACTGTGTGCACAGATTTGAACCGTTTATAATTTGGACCTCAAAGGTAGCTTCAAGTGAGTCTGGGGGTAATGCCGATCACAGAGCGAGCCTTTTTGATCAGCTTATTGTTCCTATTTTTATCATCCACACAGATGCTGCCTCCCCCCAACCCCCCAGCAGCACAGCATAAAAGCAAAGATTCTCTGATTAACAATGTAAAGAAGGTTCTTGCTATTCTCAAATGTTTTAAGCTTCTTTAAGAGGAAGAGTCTGAACTGAGCCTTTCAATTCAATTCAATTCAATTTATTTGTATAGCGTCAACTCATAACAAGTGTTATCTCGAGACACTTTACAAAAAGCAGGTAAAAGACCTTACTCTATGTCTGTTAACATTACAAAAGAGCAGGTAAAAGACCTTACTCATTGTTATGTTACAAAGATCTGGCCTATCCATCATGAGCACTTTAGGGGGGGGGGCGTCAACCAACGATCTTGAGGAGCCTAAGAGAGGTCAAGAGCTCCCAGGAAAGTAGGTGGTTAGTGACTGAGATTTAAGATACATGCAGTAATATGATGTACTGTATATGCACAGAGAGAGAGAGAGAGAGAGAGAGAGAGAGAGAGAGAGGAGCTCAAGGTGCCAGTTTCCCTGGTAGTCTAAGCCTATAGCAGCATAACTAAGAGCTGCACCGGCACTAACTATAAGATTTATCTAAAAGGAAAGTTTTAAGTCTATTCTTAAAAATACAGACTGTGTCTGCCTCCTGGACCCCGGCTGGAAGGCGGTTCCAGAGGAGAGGAGCCCGATAACTGAAGGCTTTACCTCCCATAGTACACTTAGAGACTGTAGGTACCACCAGCAGGCCTGCACTCCGGGACCGCAACGCTCTCGAGGGGCAGTACGGCACTAGTAGCTCCTTCAGATAAGATGGTGCCTGGTCATTTAGAGCTTTGTAAGTGAGAAGAAGGATCTTGAATTCTATTCTAGACTGTATAGGGAGCCAGTGCAGAGAAGCCAGGACAGGAGTGATGTGGTCCTATTTCCTGGTTCTGGTCAGTACACGAGCTGCAGCGTTCTGGACTAGCTGAAGAGTCTTTAGAGATTTGCCAGAGCACCCTGACAAAAGAGAGTTACAATAATCCAGTCTGGAGGTAACAAATGCATGAACTAGTTTTTCTGCATTATTTTGTGACAGGATATTCCTGATCTTGGATATATTACGAAGGTGAAAATAGGCTGTTCTTGAAACTTGCCTGATGTGAGAGCTAAAAGATATATCTTGATCAAATAGAACTCCTAGATTCCTAACAGTGGTGCTAGATGCCAGGCTGATGTCACTAAGGACAGTCACATCACTAGAAAAAGTCTCTCTGAGGTTCTTAGGGCCTAGCACAATAACTTCAGTCTTGTCTGAGTTAAGTAGCAAAAAATGTCTTTCTTGAATACGGCATCAGCGTTCTTTTTCCAATTTACACTTTTCTCAGATGGCACCAGTGTGTTTGTTTGTGTGTGTGTGTGTGTGTGTGTGTGTGTGTGTGTGTGTATGTGGGGAGTGACAACACCAATAATCAGGAACTATAATTCTTTGAGCGTCACACCATGTTACTGGATTGGCTTTTGATTCTAAAACTCTTCCTTATTACACAGAACAAGTTTTCTTTTCTCTGCAGTGGATTTCTCCGTCAAGCTGGTGCAGTGGTCGGACACCGAGAAGGTCCGGCTCCAGCTGTGGGACATCGCAGGTATAAAACCTTTTGTTTTTTCAGCCGATGGATAAATGACCCAAAAGGGACAGATGGATGGCATGTCACAGTGAACACTCTGTCCTCTCTCTCTTTCCAGGCCAGGAGCGTTTCATATCCATGACCAGGATCTATTATAAGGGCGCGTTGGGCTGTGTGGTGATGTTTGACGTCACCAGCTCGTCCAGCTTCCTCAGCTGTCGCCATTGGAAACAGGATTTGGACAGTAAGGCCACGCTGCCCAACGGACACTCCATCCCTTGCATCCTGTTGGCCAACAAGGTGATTCAGAGCTTTTTTACACCGATGAATTATTCATCATCGAACCCTCTGGCTTTGATTTACTGTAAAAAAATAAATAAATAAACAAAGTGCGTCGCTACTTGATGGAAAAACAATTCCAGCCCCAGTTTTCCATTTCAAATTAATTAAATAAACATTTTAAAAAGATAAATATAGTGTGTGTGTGCACATCCAGACAAAATGTATACAGGTGCAGGACAATAAATGCACCAACTGAGAATAAAGAGAGAACGGTCTGCACACTCTTCAGCTCCCAGTGGACAGTTTTATTAAGACAGGGCAACGATTCAATCTAAAATATCTTCTTGTAGATCAAACTTCTTAAGGCCTGAAGAAGATGTCGTCTAAATAAAAGTGTCCATTGGAAGCTAAACAGTATTACTCCATTGTTGAACATGCTACACACACAATGGCTGAAAAAACACATACATGCACAAACAGGATCTTGGGGGGGGGGTTAGGTGACTTGCTTAGGGGCACCTCGGCAGTACTGAGGAAGTGGACTGTCACCTCTCCAGCTACCGGAGCGATTTTCCAGACTTTGTCTGCACCGGGACTTGAACCGGCAACCCTCCAGTACCTACAGACTGAGTTACTGCCCGCCCCATTTCTGTAACATTGTAAACCCCCAAAAATGTCTAAATTGATAAGACCTCAGTTGTATCGTTTCTTAGTTTCTCTGCTTATGTAAATGCTTCTGTGTGTGTGTGTGTGTGTGTGTGTGTGTGTGTGTGTGTGTGTGTGTGTGTGTGTGTGTGTGTGTGTGTGTGTGTGTGTGTGTGTGTGTCTGTTGTCCACAGTGTGACCTGGCTCAGAGGGTCGTGTCCGCTGAAAGCATCAACAGGTTCAGTAAGGCCAATGGCTTCCTTACATGGATGGAGACTTCAGTCAAAGACAACAAGAACGTGGGAGAGGCCATGAGGTAAGAGAGAGAGAGAGAGAGAGAGAGAGAGAGAGAGAGAGAGAGAGAGAGAGAGAGAGAGAGAGAGAGAAAAGACATCTAAAAGTCGAGAGTACAGTTTGTCCTGATGAAGCAATCTAATGACTTCTACAATATGCTCTCAAATACTATAAAACTGTCAAAGACTACAGTTTGATAATGTCAGGAAGTTTTCAGGAGTTGCTGGATGAAAACACACCTGATGATGCAAGAAATTTAAAACGCCACTGATGTCACTTTTCTCTGTTGTGTTTTAGGAGGTTGGTGCAGGAGGCTTTGTCGGTTCAGTCCAGTCTGGACTCGTCTCAAACTGAACCCCAAGACTCAGATCTCCTTCAGCTGGACTCAGAGGACAACAGCAGTGGAGCAAGATGCTGCTGAAAAAACACAAACACAGCCAGGAGCTAATCAATGGACTGACTTACTGAGAGAGGAAAAACGATGAGGATGAAGAAGAGAGGGATGAAGAGGAGCAGAAGGAGCAGAGGGGAAGGTGTGTGTGCGCTTGCCAACGAGGTGCGGAGCGTGCTCAGTGCAGCCGCCACGCACCCTCCTCCAGCAGGCTGAGTCAGGCAGACACATGGCATCCTCGTGCAAACGGTGTGTAGGGGGGGATGTTGCATGTGTGTGTGAGATGAAGCTCCCACATGACATGCAAAGTGGAGTTTTAAAAATTGAGCGATGAAGCGGTCTATAGTATTGTCAGAGCAACTTTGATAAACTGCACAATCCTGAGACTAACACAGAGATGAAGCAGAAGGCAACTCAGCCGCTCCACAAATAATATAATACTAACAAACTTTATTTTTATAACACTTTTCAAATCAGGGTAACAAAGTGCTCTTTGTAAGAGCAAAATAAAAGATAGAGACGTGTGAGGAAGGCAATGATTCATAATAAAAAACAAAATAGTGAGAGATAAAAGAGCACGAGTTCCACAAATCCCCTACAAGCACATCTTTAAAAATGTGTTTTTAAAAGAGGTCGTTCCAGAGGGTCGGGGGTCCCTGATGGAGAAGGCCCGGTCACCTTTGGTCTTCAACCTCGATTGTGGAATGGCGAGCAGAGCCTTGGCCGAGGAGCTGAGGTTATGAACGGGTATATAAGAGGTGAGGAGATCAGAGATATGTACTTCGGTGCAAGTCCAGAGCGTGCTTTATAAGTTAACAATAAAATCCTAAAATCTGTATTGGGAGCCAATGAAGGGACGCTAAAACAGGAGGGATGTGGTCTCTCAATGGAGGTCGGCGCTCTCAGAGAAGGCCCTTAGATGTTCATATTCTGATTGGACACGCCCCCTGCTTTGGATCCCGTCTGAGAGAAGGAGTCCATTGATTTATATTAATAATACAAACATATCTGTCTGACCAAATTGTCATGAGCTTATATCGACATTTTCCTTTTTTCTGAAGTCCTGAATGTACACCGCACAGAAACATGACGGTGTTGTGAATAAATTAGCGATACTATTCCTATATGTTCTGTGCAGTTTCTTGAAGGCAGATGGCTCCAGATAAATGTGATAACCGCGTCCGCCAACGCTGCCGTGGAGACGAAGTCTGTCAGGACAGCAAATCAGAGAACACTCTGTCATTACCATCAGGAACATGACACACACCTCAGTCGCTGCAGAATTAATCTAACACAATTTGAAAGCGAACATATTCTAACCGCTGAATTTGATTAATTAATTTCCACTTCAATCAAGAACGAAATAGCAACAGTTCTTGTTTGTTTGAAGTTTACATCTATATACTGTTTATATATGAAAACTTCAAGCTGGAATAAAATGTGAAATTTCCAACCACTTTATTATTCTTACTCGCGTACAAAATCGTCATATAAACACATAAATGTTGGGGTTGTGTGAAAACAATTAAAGCACTTTTCGCAAATGATCAGGGGGGCATAGCCCGATTCAAGGCTTTTCAAAACCAATTATTGATGATGTCAAATTCAATAAGTCTGCTTCTCAAGGTCAATAGCCCTCACACGTACACTCAAAACCAAAAATAAATGTCGCTTTCATGTGCAGCCTGCACGACTGCGTTTTTGAGGAGATTCCATTTTGAGCTCCTTTGAGTATTTGTTCTTCCTTGTGGGACTTTTTGTCAGTATGTTTTTGTGTGGGCTTCATTTCTTATCGGTGACTTGGACGAGAGCTGGAACTGTGACTCAGTCGTGCTCACTATCTCTGGAGAACCCTCAACACATAATGGGTGGTTTGTTGGACAGATGGACTTTTAGTCATTGTACGGTTGTTTGGTCATTTCACAATATGTACGTCATGTGTTTTTACGTTCATATAAACGGGGCGCACAGTGTGTCAGCCAGTACGAGGGGCTCTTCAGTTGGACTCATTTTCTGTAATTGGACGTTTCTGCTGCACCTGAATGTTTCTTTTTTTCAGAGGCTCAATCTGTGACTCCAAAAATAAGAAAGTCACTGTGCAGCTAATGGAGGAGGACAGAACGTATCAACCTGGTAAAATACATTCATCCATGGACTGTATGGACGTAGCCACAGTGATGTCACTCTTTGGTTTCTCTACACCGCCATGTTGGTTTTCAAGAGCCAGACATTACCAGAATCGGAGGACAGGGTGGCATAATACTCTCTCACTCACACAAACATGATACAATAAATGATTCTGAATCACACTCACACTGACAATATTCTGCACACGCACACAATTAATATTACCACAGACTGTTTTCTGAACTAGCCAAACACAGCTGTTGCGGCACTTCAAAGACGGTCAACTAGCTTCAAAATAACACGACGTATTTGCAGTAACAGAAGTCTGTTTGTCTCTCATTAAAAAATCATCTGTGTCACTTCGTTATTGCATTGTTTCATCACTTTTGTTCACCTGAAAAAATAGAGAAACAAAAGCACATCGACTGTGCATGGCTGCATATTACTGGACATCTGGTTCTACTGGATAATGCATGGCACCAAAGACCCCAAGCTGCCCCCCCCCCCCCCCCCAAAAGGTGCCTGTGTGTGAGCTTTAATCATCTTTAAGAACACTGCAGGTGCTTTTAAATGCAAACTTTTATCACATTATGACTGAACAAGATACAAAAAGCAGTGGTTGACACCAGGGTGCGATCGACAGCTTTCACAGCAGCGCAAATGAAACGCACTAACTTGGCAAACAGTCTCAAGTTTGTTTTAACTGAACCAGAAAGGATAAGTATTAAAACGCCCTGAGAGGTGGAGTGGAGGCGGGCCTTAAGCAAAATGCTACAGGTCGCCATTTTATCAGTCAAATCACCCATGCCCCTAATTATGCAAAGATAGCCTATGTCTAACTCTTAGCCTCAAAATCACCAAAACGATTTGGTTGGACACCAAATTCCTAGCCCTGCAGTTTTAGCCAATAAAGGAATAAGATATTCAGAACAAAATTGTTTGGTTTAAATAAAAAATAATTAAAGAAACCATCTATTTAAAGCTCACTTCTTCTTGGATGCAGATGGATGATGTCAATGCAGACCAGCATCAGCTCATCTCTCTTCCAGGCCTTCATGACGCTCTGAAGCATCAGCGTGGGAGGCCTCCCACTGCTTAATGTGGGCGTGCTGACAGAGAGCCCTCTCATACCAAAGCTGTCTTTTGCTCCGAGCAGAAACCAGGGACAGAAGGAACTGTTCCTCTCGTGTCATAACCACCGGCCACTGCCCCAGACCACCGGAAGATGTAGGTCTCTCAGATTTCATTCAGTTTTTGAGATGGCTTGATTTCAATGAGTATTGTACACAGCAATACTAATGCAAGCTGCAGTACCTGTATGTTGTGCGCCTCCATGGCAGAACACAGAGCTAAACGTCTCTCAGCTCAAAGAGTTCATTTAGCGGTGGTAATGAGAGCTACTACATCTCCACCTGGGCACCCACAGCCACGTCGATAAAATATTGAAACATTCAGCGTCACTGATAAAAACCCCACCAAATATCAAATATGTTTTAAAAAAGATTGATAATAATATTCACCCTTATACAAGTGTTAGGGTCCTGCTCCACTTTTCAGAAAATGTGTGCTCAAACAGCCTTCTCAAATCTGTTTAAGAGGAGGAGAATATGTCACCTTTAATCTAATCATGAGTTATGACAACCCCACTGCAGGTGGAAGAAAGAGTTTCCCTACAACACTTCAAAATAATGTGTTATCTCCACACGGCCTTGAGACCAGACGTCAGCCCACAGAGCACAACTTCAAAGGAGTCACTCATGGAGGTGTGATGCGTCTGCCCTTCACCTCCGCCCCCCGTCAGCGTCAGCAAACAGACAGTTTCTGCATCATGAATTACGTTCAACACTTTGATGACTGAGTTGTCCAAGGAGAAGCAGACAAAGTATTTGTACCATCTGGAGGTGTGCTCTAATGAAGGTCACATGGCTTTAAGCTTATCTCTTTCAAGGAAATAAAACAACACAGTTGCTGTGTATGTGCCTCTTTTTAAATCTTCTCAGGAATTATTTTCTCTGTAAGGTCCGACTCTTGTTGTATAAATAATATAATTATATGATAAAATGTTAATTAGACATCAGCTAATTGTTTCTATGGCTAAAGAATAAAGCACATTGGACATTTCCTGAACAGAATAAATGACAACAGGTCGGACTTATGATGCAACCTTTTGGAGTCTCCTCTGGTTCTTTAATCAACAGATTCTCGACCATCTGCTGGGCGAGCTAAAGAGAGGGAGAGGAAGAGGCAGTCAGATGGCAGAGACAAACACAAACAGCATCCACGTAAATCTTGTTGCTGCCCAACGCAAAAAGAACAAAACCGGGTTAAAATAACCTCCACCTCTCATTCTATTACTCACAAAAGTTCCTGATTTAGATTCTGGTTTAGCTCACAACAACTGTGTGGTTATATTGTATATAGCCTTAAACTATCTGCACAACAACATCAGTGATTAGTCCGGCCCTGGACTTATTCACACTGTGCAATCTGTCTGTGCATTTTGTGCAATATTAATACATTCCTCTTTTTACTGCCCAAAAAGACATAAAGCCGAAAGATTGTAAATATTAATGGACTGGTTGTGAGTGCACCGCTTCACAAAAAGCCTGATGAATGTTTGAAACCTTTTTGTCTTAAACTGTGAAGTCTCTTCTACGGGAAGCCACCTGCTGGTGACCCTGAGAACTGTGCTATCAGACCAACATTGTTTTTTTAAACCAGGCTGTAAAGATGTTTATTTCTGCTTTAAAAACTGGCTCTTTTGACTGTGGTGTGTATGTGACTTCCTGTCCTTCTGCAGCCAGCCTCTAGTGGTGACTCGACAAACTGCAGGATTTTGCACTTCCACATTGGCTTCATTTTTCAACATTGGAGGACGCCCTTGATATAGACGCACACACATGCAAACTACCCGCTCGGCCACCGGCGCCCCTGCTGAAAATAATTCAATTGCAGCACTTTTCTTTGTCCTTTCATGAATGGGACCCTTTGTTGTTTTTTTACTTTTTTCACTCAGGATTTTGATTTGAGTTATTTTACACAACTAACATGCACTTCCTTTGTTGAAATTGTGCACCTTCACTTTTTACAATACATTGTCTTTTGTGTTGCCTGTCATGTCTCGCACTTGTCCTGTCCTGCTCTGCATCACTGAAAGAAAAATACAAAATAAGTTATTTTTGATGCATCAACTTTGGGGAGGTGAGCAGTAAAGAGAAAGGCTCTAAGAGCAGAGTACAGAAAAAATAAGAGACAGAAAACTGCAAAAAAAAGAGAAAACGATGGAGGAGTTGTACCCCACCCTTCACACGAGCTTATGGGTTTTACACTTATCAAACCATTAATGTTACAAATGTGCCAAAGCCAAAGTGTTGGTCACAGCTGTGTGAAGTGTGGTGATTATTTGTGTGCTCTTTGTTCCCCCACAGCACTTGTTACGGTGGAAGTGTTTTGACAGAAAGCCTATCTGAAGGAGAAGTGTTCACAATAAACATTGAGCCAAAGTACGTGTGCCATCAGAAACACATACGTCATATTCATGTTGTTCATGCGTGAGATGTTTACACCCTGCTATCAGTGGTGGACACTAGTGACAAAGTCTATTTAGCATACAGTGCCTTTCTCTGAGTGTCTGTACTTTACTTGAGTTGACTTTTTTGCAGCTGTCAGATTTTCTTTTCTTTTTTTTTGTGATCAATTTTGTATTATTTATTTTTAAACATTGTCACTTACAATAAAGGAAAAGTCTAAGTGGTGTTGCCGTACATGCATGTCGCTCGCCTCCTTGGTTGAACGTGGAGCAAACGCAGAGCGGGCATCGCTCAAATGTTTAATTTGGGTGACAACACCGCTGCAGGGGAGTGAAAAAGCAAAGGGGAGCTTTAGCAGCGTGAGGAATAAGAAAATGCTGCACCAGTAACAGAGTTCAAGAAAACTTGCACCTACTTCTCAAATCCCACCCGTGGCTCCTTTCCTGACACAAACAAATGAGGGTGCAATGAATCCATTTACGCCCTTGTAGAACCAGGATCAAGTTTACAGTGCTACATTATTATTTAAATAGTAGATTCAAAGCATTAAAACACTGGAGAAGCCATGTATCCACGTCAGAATCTTTTTATTACTTTTTGATGCTAAAATAAAATGATACCTTTTAATGAATCAAATTAAAAGAGAGGGGGCTCAGTTTGCATTATCATTGTATCTATATATTTGTATAGCAATAAGGCAAACAGAGGGGGGACACATTTCTTTACCTTTGGAGTAATTGCCAACTATGTTTAGCCCAGCCTTTGACAAACTCTTCTTTATTTAAAAACACAAATAGACACCAGTTAGAACATCCTAGTTCCCTCTTTAAATAGCCTTGAACACAGCATTGGGTCGTGTCCCTGTCAGAGACGAAGCAGTTCTTAATTAAATAATCTTCCCACACTCATCACAGCCTCAGCTGCTGCCACTTTCTGCCTTGTGAATGGACTTCCGCGTTTCCATGCCTTCCAAACGTGACCCGGCATCGTCCAGAAAGAGGGACGAGCGGACCAATGGGAACGCCGGATTCGCAGCACGTCGTCATTCACGTTTGACAACTTTCGTGCTGCGTTCCATGACTGTGGGAAAGACGACGAATATGATTTTCACACGTTATATTGCAGGTTCAGTTAAACTCTCAATCGGAAAATATAAACATTACAACTTATTTTTGTTTTTTTTTCCCGAATTGTCTGATTCTGTTGCCATAGTTACCGTCATTACTCAATCCGCAAATGTTATAATCCCTTAATTACAACGAAATTGCTCACGCATGATTTATTATTTTGACTCTATTTCAGCAGCATTAGTAGAAACAGCTACCCCACGTAGTCGTGTCGTTTTATTTCCTGTAATTGTCCACAGATGACGTCGATAACTGCTCGTTTGTCGCGTGGAGAGGATTGAGAGTTGTTGTTCTTCCCGCGGTTCAGTGAACGCAGCGCGAGAGAGGAACGAGAACACGACGCATGCGCAGTGAGCTGAACTCTTACGAAACAAACTAGTGCAGCGGCTGGAAAGTAGGTACAGAGAGATAGGGATTCACGGGCGACACGCATCCACAAGACTTCCCCGCACATCGAAACGTAGGGAAGAAATGCTCCTTTCTTTGGGCTTGACATAAATATCACCTCCGGGGAACCAGTACGAGGTAAGCCGGCTCTTTTTGACTGGTTTAATGGGTTACTTTTAAAGGAAAACTAGATAAACAGCGCCGCCACTTACATAAGGATCACTCTGGTGACCCCGTTTTGCTGCCCTCATGTTGTTTCCTTGACATACACTTAAACTTAAAGACTTTTTTTTTTAAATGTCAAACCATTTTAAACCCTTTAAATGTTACACTCAGTGACATGTTCAGGTCGTCTTTGTTGGGCTTTTATTCTGCTGTTAACTCTTATGAAACCAGTCCCTCATTCAGAATGGTGCTGTGACCTAATTTCCATTTGCAGAAGTCAGAGGAGCCTCCACTGTGACGTGAAACTTCATATTTAGCCCTAAAATACATGTTCAACACATCACCCGGGTTTTAAAAATGTTATTAAGCCTTAATGTGAAGTGAACAGATGTGTAACTTTGAGTAAAATCACAATGTTATTACTGAATTCTAATGTTTACAGTGGAGCTGACCTGAGTACTTCACATTCAGTCTCATACAATATTTCATTAAGGTCACATTGGATAAGCTTTAAAGATATACCTCAAATGTCTGTATTAAGAGCTATGTCTATATATTCAAATATTTAAATAGTTATTTGATTTTTGTAAATATGCATTGTTTTTTTTCACGTCCTAATTGACTTAAAAACTCATCTAAAGCTTGAAACAGTTTATTTAGAGCCTTCATCTTCACCCATCTGCACTGTGATTTAAATCTCTATTTACTGCAGAGGCTTTTATTCAGAGTGTGCTCTACATGGGGTTAGTGTTTTTAGAAATAAGAAGACAAGAGATAAGACAAGACATCATATGTGACGTCACAGATGCTCTCCTCAAATGTGCAGAGGTGAAGTCAAGTGGGTAAACTCTTAACATTTCCCCCCCAAATGTTTTTTCTTTAAGTGTCCCGTCCAGCAGAGGATAAACAGTGACATCTTAAGACTACTCCTGCATATTTACTTAGGGAATACTAGCCAATAAGGTGACAGAGTATAGGAAAGGTCATCCCTTCACCCTCCTCGGAAAATAAAATCACAGTATGCTGTACTAGTCCTAATTTATTAAATCAACTAGTGGTGGGAAATAGAGGGGATTTAGACCCTCCATGGAGACTGAAAAAATAAGTGGATAAGTGCTGTATACCTGCATTCAAACCGTTGTTTATACCGGCTGTTGGGTGCCAGAGCAACGAGCAAATTGCAAAAAAGAAATCAGCAATGTAGTGGAGAATATGATGAGTAATGTTTCTGTTTGGGATCGTGCTCTGCAGAAACAAATGCTCTAAGGAAATGAATGAATGAATGAATGAATGCAGTGCAATCACAGGAGCCGTATCAGCACACAGGGAACAGTTTGGGAATCCTTTTCAAAGTCTTTCTGGGCATAATGTCTGTGCAGATAATGAAAACTCCCCCTAGTGTCCGTATAGAGGTACTGCAGTCTTACAGTAAGCAGTGACTAATTCATTATAGTCTCTGAGTGTTAATGACTAATGCAGCAGTGATTAACCACTATGCAGGATTTGATCAATAAAGGGTTTATTTTAGGAGTCGCAGATCAAATAGGAGGCCGCTGGCTGTGGTTGGATTGATGCACAATACAGCAGACTCAAAGTGTGACCCAGTTCCACTTTGATTCAAAAGGTGTGTAAGAAGATAGCAAAAATATGATTTTATCTCCTCGAGTGAATCAGAACATGAAAAGGCAATGACCTTTTCGATGTGCCTGCTACCTCCTGATGTCTTGCAGAGAAGAGGGTTAGGTCGTGTCGTTCGTCCAAATATTTGACATATTTCTAAATGTCCCAAAAGTCTCCAAAGAGGTTGAATGTTTAAAAATATGTTTGATTCAATAGATCATCTATTACACAAAGTCATCCGTTTTAAAGAACGGGGGTGTGTGTGACTTCTGGGGCTTCTGCAGCAAGCAGCCCCCTAGTGGGCAGTCGACAAACTGCAGGATTTTTTTCACCTTTGATTTGGCTTCCTTTTTCAAAACCGGAGGTTGCCGGCTAATATCAGAAAGTTCTAAAACATCCCATAGTAGATCTATTTTTTGGAATGCGGTGCATGGAGCGCTGTGGAGCCCAATAAGAAATACGTTTTGGCAAATTGCCTGCAACAAGATTTGGCCTCACTCCAAAAGCGTCGAAAGCAGTAAAAAAAAAAAAATGTCTAAAAAAGCTGAAATCATTTGGGATGCTCATGGCCTAGCGGTTATGTCCCGTGCCCCATGTACAGAGGCTAATAGTCCTTGTCCTGGCAACCTTGGGTTTACTGTATGATCATGGCTTAATGCTCTTTGAATCGTATTTTATTTTTTATTTTTTTGAATGGAGCGTGCAGGTCCAACAAAGTGCCGGCTAAATCCAGCCTTAAACCAAATTAACCTGCAGGGAGGCTATCCTCGGATAATAATCCATTTCATTCAGTCACAGGCTGCACGGCTGCTGCCAGGAACGTTCTGTTTTTATTTCACCGCCGTCATCTGGTGTGTTCTCCTCGGGCCAGCTGCATCGGTGACAGGAATAGCCCGACCTCATGTCAAATTCATAAAGAATCAAGTGCTGATCATTGCTTTCCTCAGACGCACAGAGGTGTCAAACTAACACCTGTTTAAACTTCTAGTGGCAGGTAAATCCTTCCTTTCCCCTGATTCAATCCTGAAACCTTCCATGTTTTTTTTCCTGGTACCGGCTCTTTAAATCAATTATCCATCCCGTATATAATATGACTTTAAAAATCACTCAACATGTCGTTGTTCTGGAAAGACTGTAATCATGTGTTCAAAACATCTCTCATGCTAAACCAGTCGTACTGCTGCATGTTTCATCACGCAGCTGCTTTCATTTAAATGCAAGCATGCAAAACAAAGCAGAAAGAACGGTATGTTGCAATGTCCCAAACTGCAGGGTGGGGGGGGGGGGGGTGAGCCTCGAGGAGGTGATGAATATTAAAGCAGTGTCAGGTTTGGATTATTCCGTGGATAATGCAACGTTTCCAGGGCACAGAAAGGAACCTGGATAGAGAGATATGGGGTGGTGACATGTAGTAGAACTCGTCAAGGGCTGGACTTTAGACCATGATCGTGTTACTGTCGGTGATTCAGAGCCACAGAGGAAACACGGAACCAGAAGAAACTGCATCCATGTCACTACTGTGTTGATCAGAACTCATACAGGAATGCACATTAAGCAAAAAAAAGTGTAAAAACTGGAACCAGTTAACGTTAGCTTCTCTTTATGTGAATTGTTGAAAGGGTTTGGAAAAGTAATGATTCAGGGCCTGTGTTCATTAACGGCTATTTACTTTTTATTTTTTTGAAGTCTTCTTTTCGTACTCAGCGCTAAAATGTCAACATCAGCTTTTTGTTTTTTCAAATCTAGGCCGCAGCATATTGCCACAGGTTCGCCTAGCCCTGTACCTGCACAGAAATCTAGCCTGGCGTGCACCTCCTCAAAATTCTAACCAACGGCCAAAAAGACACAAGACCACAAGCGCTGTGATTGGTCTACAGTTTCCTCTCCTGGCTTGCACATGTAAAAACATCAGGATACTGAGTCTTATTAAATGTTGAGTTTTATTCGACATGTGCTGAAGACAGAAAGTCACAGACTTCTTTGGTGTTCTTGTTCAGATTGGTATGTTCTTGGCACGTCCCACTCTGTTGGCAGCCGCTCCAGCTTGGATCCTTCTGTTATAGCTCTCCTGCTGTGAACTCGCTCCGAGCGAGCTGTGAAAAAAAAAAACGACAACATTATGTTCTGTTAAAATGAGACAAATTGCTGACTTCATTCAGAAACATTTCACCACCATTCAGTCTTCTTCGCTGTTTGCTCTGAGAGATCCATCAATGACTCTTCTTCTCTTTTATTGCCACAGAATAAGATGGCCCCTAATTCCATCCACTGGTTCCGCAAGGGCCTCCGTCTCCATGACAACCCGGCACTACAAGAGGCGGTCAAAGGGGCGGGCACGGTGCGCTGCGTTTACTTCCTGGACCCGTGGTTCGCAGGATCCTCCAACGTCGGAGTCAACAGGTGGAGGTAGGACAACCTTTTTTTTTTTTTTAAATGGCAGCTCAAGGGGCTCGATATGTGAATCCTGAGGAGGGGGGTGGAGACAAAAACGGAGCAAAAAGGGAGTTAATTTGTTACATTTTAGGGTTTAAATATAACTTTTCTGTATGGATGTTAAATTGTAAATGCTGACAGGAAAACATTGATTTGAAGCTGGGGGAGAACGTTCACATTCGGACTGTTCAGTCTACATCAGGCCGTCTGAAGTAGTTTGCCATTTAATCCAGCAGGTGGCGCTCTCAGCATAACTTGACCAGCATGCACTCTCGACCTCAATAGTAAGACATTAATGTTGTTTCAGTTAGTTAGTTTAAACTTTGGTGCTTTTTGAAACGATCAATCATTTACAAAACCAGAGATTCTGTCTTTTTTTTAAAAAACTTCTGGTATCAAAAAGATTGACAACCTAAATTCTGATAAAATCAGAATAAATAAAAGGAACATAGTCTCCTCTTTTTTTTTTCTGGATTGAATAATAAAGACAGTGAGTAGCAGAGATTTTGCGGCGAGCTGTGAGTCATCCACAAAGAGCCAAGGAGAAAAAAAGAGGCTGCAGTGCCTAAACTCACCACATGATGTCAGCATTTCTCTGCTTTTGGAGCCTCGTGTTTGCATGTGAAGCTTTCTTATTGCTTCATTCATCTTTTTGTTTTCACACGAGTCAGATCATGCTAGGACTTCTTTTTTTAGGCTATGAGTTGAGCTTTGACCCTTCTAAATATAAGTGGATTTGACGGACAAAATAAATAAGATTGAACAACCTGGAAACAGCTGCGCGGCTGATTTCCAGGCCACAGGGCGCTCCTTTGTTTTAGTCCCAGATCACCTAATCCCCATCATAGAGGTCAGTCTGTAAGTAGCCTTATGGCTGTACATGTGATGTGAACGGATGAGCGGGTTAAAGAAGAAGTCTGCCCTCTCTCTAAACCAAGCAGGCCTCGGGGGGGGGGGGGGGTTGTAAGTAGGTTATTAAAAAAGGTGGACAAGCTGAGGGATCAAATGGTGTGTAAACAGGCTCTCTGTCCCCCCGTGTCGATGGGAACGTATGCTTATTCACGTGGGGATGTTTTTAAAAAGCCATGGGGAGGATGGTCAATATCACTCCACTGTTAAATGCTCGCTGGCCCGTTTCACTGAGGTGCTATTTGTAGACCCCCGCTCAGAAATAGTCGATTAAGAAGTCGCTGACCCAGTGGTACCCAGCAGATCAAGGTGCTAAAACTGTAAACAGACTGGTGGCGGTTGTGGAAGGGTCCGGGCAGGAAACACACGTCAGTGACGCACATGCCTGCATGGTCACCCCTCCCAGATTCCAAAACATAATTTGTAGGTCACTGATTATGAAATGCACTTTATTTTTGACATTATATTTTGTTTTTTAAAAGCTGACTTCATGGAGCTAATCGAAGTCACTGATAGGAGGTCAGCCTTGAGGAACGATTGGTCATCGTCACGGGGACGCTGACGTCAGCAAATAATCTCATTTCATGTTCAATATCCCCAAAACTGAAGAGTCATTCTGTTACAGCAGCAGCTTATCAAAGAACAATACACTGCACACTTTAAGAGAGAAAATTCAACTTAAGGGATCAATCAGTGAGATGTGTAGTGAGTGAGATGATAAAGGTATCTTACTCTCTGATCATTAAGGAAACATGTTATGTTGAAGTGCTGGCTTCTCTGACAACAATGCAGCAGCCAGTATGTCCTCCTTCTAACTTTAGATTCTGCTCCTGAATGCTCTGGATTTGTTTGGACCAGAGAAGGTAGGCGCTTTTAAGGCAACCATCACACGGCCGGGGGGGGGTTGGATTTGTATTTGGTCTATTGAAGAGGACAGGAAATTGCTGAATGTGTCCCACTTATCTGGGCCGAGTCAGTGACGTACGACCCAAACGCTTCAGCCGTCAGACTCAAGGCTACAACCTGCGTTTGTTAGATTTATTTTTTATTATCTGCAGAAGAAGCTCAGAAGCTGCGTAACGGGGTCACTAGATGATGCACGGAGTTTAAAATTCAAGACAAATCAAACCGAATTGAGGTCACTGATTTCTGCTCAGGCGCACACAGATGTGTTATAACCTCGTGAAGCCGTGAATGTTTTTTTTTCTTTTCTTTTTTTTTTAAATGGAGCTTGTTTGTTTTTAGCGCCACAGGATTAGAGGACAATACAGTGGCCTGATTTCTAAAGAATATGGTGGGAGGGGTCAGTGAGTGAGAGGAAGAACCCATTTAATTTGTTGACTGGTCTGAAACCACCTGATGAACAAACAATCAAAGTAAAACTATCTTGTGTGTAGGATGGGGCCTCTTTAAATACATATATGCACAAAACAGCAACACAGAAGAAATCATAGACTTAAAAACTGAGATACTGTCATTAGTGGCAGCTCAGCTTGCAGCCCCTCCAGATTCCTGAATTTAGATTGAAACGATCACATCTTTCCCCCCTCATGGTCCATTTCTACCAGGCTTGTAATTCCAAATGATTGACATTGGGGGAGCCGATCCTTGAAAGAAAACTGCAATCTTAAATCATTAGAAAGTCATTGGACCTGTCCCCATATATAGAGTCACAGTTCACATGTCTGCAGCTCTAATAACCATCCCAGGCTCAGACATCAACACTAAAAACCTGCCCAGCTGTCCTGCAGGTCTATATGGCACACCATCATCCAATTACAACCGTTATTTTTAACCTGCAAATTTACGGACCTTCAACGTCCAGCTGGATGGTTCAGCTGCGATTTAGACCGAGAGAGATTATCCCGTCCCGTTTTTGTGAATGGTCGACTTAACAGCGAGGTATTCCTGTAACGCCAGTCCTCAGCGAGATTACTGTCATGTCATCATGTCAGGCTAGTTGGCGTTTCTTTTTTGCTCATTTATCCTCATCGTGGTGTCCTGACACATCGGACATGTGGCTGCGGGAGCTGGGGATTTGAACCCTCACCACAGGGGGCGACGACAAATCACAAATGTTGGCTGCCAGAGGTCTCCTCTTTTATAAACTGAGCCGAATGGTTTTCATGGCAATTAGTTTTCTCCTAGATCTGAGTTAGGACACACACTGCTTCCTTATTTTTATATATTATAAAGCACAACCGCTGATTTTAATTGGGGAAAAACATTTTTTGTTTTGCATACTTTTCACTTTCCAGCCCGTGAACGTTTTTTCATTTTCCATTTTTTGTGGATTTTCTTGCACTAATTGGGGTGTTTTATCAACATTTTCTGTAGATACGGGGGTTCAATTTGTCTGGATCTGATCCCATTGGATGAATAACATCCTAGCCTGTCAAAAAAAACTAAAGAAACACAACTTTGTCATGTCAGATTGAACAAACTCCATGTAGAAGATGAAAATTATGGAGCGTCAGAATATGTAGACATTTGAATGAGTGGATTGAGTCCGAGCCAGTGAGGACACAGCAGACAAAGGATCACGTCACCGTGGTGATAAACAACACAGGAGAAGTTCTCCGTAAAGAGACTGAGCTCTGGAGCAAAAACCATTTAAATGACAGGGCTAATCAATTTTGGGTTTTTTTTCTGTCATGGGGAAAATGTGAGAATGGTCTCTGGAGCAGATGTAGGTTAGTGTGCCATTGCATGAAACTTGTGTTATGTGATCGTGACCTACTTGTGAGGAGGCTTTTTCCTGCTTGGCCTTGTTAACCAGCGAACACCAATGAGAACACCACACAGTACATCTGTTAGAAAAATAACACCAAACCGGCGTTCAGTATCTGCTAAAAAATCTCACAGCAGCATCAGATTATTATTCTTTGGTTACCGACGTTCTCTACAAATCATGTCATGTACAAAAAGAATGAAGTCAGAGAAGAAGTATACAGGCATTGAAAACAATTATGAATGTAGGATTCACACAAATTAACTACAAATCAATGAAGAGGACTCATTCAAAAGAACTTTGAGCAGATCAGTCCTTTGGGATTGAAGGTTTCGTTGGATGTGGGACTTTAAACTGCTGTTTAAAGACTGAAATAAATTCTACTTCCTCTAAATGACCAAAACAAACAAAAACCTTCAGCAAAAAGACTGATTGCTGCTCTATAATTATCTTAAACGTCTGTTTCCGCTGACACTGAGTTGGTGTTGGACTGAGTGATTAACGGGACGATGCGGAAAGACACTTCATTTCTGATTACAGCAAGCGATACCTTTTTTTTAGTAGGATATTCTTTGCCTTTAGGTAGGACAATTCACAATCACAAGACACACAAAAACAAAACAGAGATGAGAAACTAGGGGTGCGTAAATATACCGATTAAAACATCGGTTTTGGCCAAAATCCGCCCTGTTGACAGAAATCGGCTGTGGCTCAGTGGTTCAGTCGGTTGTCTCTCAACCAGAAGGTCGGGAGTTTAATCCCCAGCTCCTGCAGCCACATGTCTGATGTCTCCTTGGGCAAGACACTTCATTTCTGCTGCTGCTTAAGTCAAGGTGTATAAACGTGTATGAATGGATGAGTTATTATTGATGGTCACTTTGCAAAAGGTCTAAAACCTATTCAATCTCAAGTCCATTTGGGCAATTGCACACATTGCAACCTCAACAGAACATGACATCACACTGAACACCCACCTCGACGGATGGACAGAGCACTGAGGTGCAGAAGGGCTCGCCTTGGGAAAAGCATGATCCCTGCTTTCATGGCGGCCCTGAACAACAATCCTCGCTGAACAGGCCAGAGTGTGAACTCTTCTTTGTTTTGTGTATATGCTGTTCTTTGGTGGGAATTGTCTGTTTGGACAGAGACAGTGCGGTGAAGAGGAAATTCCTCATAGGGACAATAAAGTCCAAAGTCCAAAGCTGATGTGTATTTAGTTTCTTGTTTAGTTTGTCAGCGAGCATATTCACAATCTACATGAGTCTCAGTTAGTGAGAGGAGATTCACCCCTTGACTCCTTGTTAAGATCACTACAACGTGTAAAGCTCACTATTGATGAGTTGTTTTGGTTTTTAAAAGCTGGCATTTAACTTTTGTGTGTGTGTGTGTGTGTGTGTGTGTTGTGTGTGTGTTTGAGAGCGTGCACGCTGCGCAGCCAGCAATGAGGTTAGCCGGCTTAGGGATTGTGTTTGTGCAAAAGTCAGAGTGTCTCTATACTCACAGATCTAGGCCAGAGCGGTTATATAAGGCCTGATGTATGACAAAGCAACCAACACACAAACGCGCACACTAACACACACGCGCACACACACACAAACAAGTAAGAGCAACACACACATAAGAGCATTCAGAGGCTCGAAAGATGTGGAAGCACGCACTGATGCTCACACAAGAAAACTTGCATGAATGCACGTGGACTGACATGCTCATCCCCTGCACGTAGGGCTCACGTGTGTGCGCGCACACACACACACACACACACACACACACACACACACACACACACACACACACACACACACACACACACACACCAGGTGATAGCACGTCACCCAGAATGATTGGTGGAGCATCTCTTGACTTTATTTGAGCGCTCTTTGTCCGCTGAGGTAGAAGAAGGAGGTCAGCCCCCCAAAAAATGAGAGTAAATGAGAGTAAGACTGCACCTCGCTTTCTGTCCGGATCCAGGTGTCGATGACGTCGGTGGGAAAAGAAAACGCGGCTTCACTGACCTTCTCTTAACATCTTAACATTAAGATCGTTTGCATCTGGGCTTCAAAGGGCCGATTCTGGATTTTTAAGACTTGCAGGCAAAAAAAACAATTCATTTCAATTCTCATATTTTTTTAATAATTGAGTCCCATATTTGATCTTCTGAATGACCTACAGGTTCAGGAGTTTTGGATTTGTTCCAGCAGTTCGTCTTGAAATTGGCTGTAATGGCCGCTCCCTAAACGTCGGAGGAAATTGCAGCCAATTTGAGTCTTTCCAACTAAAAAGGGTCTTCTTTTGTCACTGAAAGATTGTTGTTCCGAGTGTCTCCCAACGTAACAGAAAGGACACTTTGCTAGAGAGTCAAAAGCATTTCTAGCCAGAAACAGCGGGGAAATCGTTCCCTCCAACGCCTCCATTCTTCATTGACAAAAACATGAATTTAACAAAGCAGAACACGGCCTCCTCTGCCCCTGTCGCCTCGATCTGTTGGGTGGTTTTTTACTTTTATTTTGGAAAACCAAAGCCACACAAGATTTGTTTTAAAGATGTTTTCAGACGTTTTTGAAGAGAGAGAGGAAACATTGGGAGGAGAGAACAGGGGAAGACATCAAGGTCGTAATAGAACCCACCTCCACTGCGATGCCTCCGCAGATGGGGCGCCAGACTCAACCAACCAGGCCATCCGGCGCCCCAGCCACACAAGATTTGAATCAAAGTGAACAGTTTGAGGCAGCAGTAGATCAGCTGATAATATAAACATGTAGCAGATAATATTACTATCATATCAGGTGGCTTTGAAGAGACCACTAAAGGGCACACTCACCCATTTTAAAAAAATAAAAAATAAATAAAACAAGTATGAAAGTTGTTGTCAGCGGCCAATTTTGTGCAAACCCCTGAATGCCGTAAGCCAAAATTAGAAAGTCTTTCAGAGAGAGAGAGAGAGAGAGAGAGAGAGAGCTCTGCTTTAACGACCGGGCTAACGAGGTCAGACAGGAGGGAACAGGATGCAGCAGAACATCGCTCTGACTGGGATCAGACCCAACACGGTCTACAATAGGCGGTGCTGGAACAGTGGATGCAGCAGAGATGCATCTTAAGGAAAAGCATTCTTCACACATTAGCAGTTGCACATAATAGCAAAAATAATTGCAAGACTCCTCCCTCAAACTGTCAAACATTGGAGCACTTTCTTTGCAGAAAGAGGTGGGTACGGTGCTCGCAGTATATTTAACAATTTAGCTCTTCCAAAGATTTTTTTCAAATTCAAGTAAACATGACATTAATTAAATTGAAATTATTTACAAAAGAAGACAGGAAGCTTTAGAGATTCATCTTTAAGAGCTGAAATGTTCTGAAGAGACACCACACAGCAGGGATCATGCGCTCTATGAGAAGTTCTAACAAGTCTTGAATTTTTTGTTAGCTTTGTTTTTTACACATAAATATACTGGAGACATTTCTGCATTTATTTTATACTAAAATGGCTATAATGGGATTTTTGTTTTGCCACCTGGGGGCGCCACAAACAGCTCTGAACCTGAACTCAACCCTGACATATAATCCCTTTTTACAGGGTGATGTTGGCTACTCAACACGCTCAATAAGATGAATGAATAATGACCCAGATGCTTCACCTGCAGTCTGAAAATATCTGCTGTCTCACATCATGCTGGGCTCTTAAACTTGCTCAGAGTTCTTTCCACATTCTGCTGCATTCCTGAATCCAACTTTCCACCAACACTCACTCACACAGCACCTGCCAAGACAGTTTGGCAGCTTTGGGGAGGAAATACATTTAGCCTGCCATCACTGAGATTTTTTTTTATTTTTTTAAACCGACATGAAGCAACTTTTTTCTCTTTTCACTTCATTTAATCCCAAGATGAGATAAAGCTACAGGACTAACAACGTGTTGCAGAAGTAAGAATATGTGACTTTCAGCAATGTCCTTGGTTAGATATGAATACCAAGATTGTCCAAATCAGAGCGGTGCAGTGGTCATTTCTGGATGATGGCGGTCCTGTTCATGCACAAAGAGGTGAAAACCTGCATTTTGGTACCAAAAGGTCGCGGATAAATGTTTGTTTGCAAGTAAGACAGTGTGCTGGAGTTGACCTTTTTTTGGACTACCTGCTCTCCTACTTGCCTGTTTTATGAAATGGATGTGCAAAGGTTTTCTTTTTTTTTTTTTTCAACAAAATCCATTTCTTTGTATTTTTTAGCCTTAAACGACTTTCTCAAATCTGTGATTCTGCAACGGAAAAGATGCACAGATGGTCCGACGCTCCCAAGCGGAAACCGCCATTGTCCATTTAGGGGAGTGGTTTCATCAGTCTGTCGGTGAAGAGTAAGCAGTAGGTGTTTTGTGTGTCATTAAAAACCCTTTGGTCCCACTGTTAAAGGGATCATAACCACTACAAAATGAAAAGGTTTGAAGAGTCTTCCGGTCTGTGCTGGATCAAACCCGCCCACTGTCGTTATTGTTTTTTTGTCTACAAAGGCTCTTTGTGGGAGCTCCATCCATATTTATTATGATGATTAAAGACTGCTGAAGTGTAGTCAAGGATCGGCTTCTTTCAAACAGGGAAATCTAACCATCGAGCCATCTGTCACTGGAGGGATGATATTTATTTACTGCCTCGCCTTCTGACTCTTCTGAATTTTCTTTTCAATGCACCAAACACATTTATTTGATTTTCACAAGATGTTTGATCACTTCTTAAGTCAATCAATTCATTAAAGCTTCAAGCATGAGTCTAACGGAGGATGATCAGTTCTGTCAGGAGGGTGAAATGCATCAAAAAAGCCCAAAACACTCTCTTCACCTCTTCAGACTCTTCGCCCTAAAACTCAACACTCACACACACACACACACATCCGAGGAGGTTGCATCCAGCGAGGAAACACAAAAAAAAACGAGTTCATGCTCTTTTGTGCAAACTTTTATAGTTTGACATCAAAATTAGGGCACAAAAAAATGTGCCACTGCTGCAGAGAGGAAGGACCTGAGAGTATAAAACCAGATCAAATGTAGGACAGGAAAGTCTTCTGGTCAACATTCTGTGATGATGTAACACAAAGAGGGGAAAAATTCAACTTTTCTTTGAGTATGATGTTTGCAGAACTCAAGTCAAAGTTTGCTCGATGAATCTAGAGTATAATCAAGCGCTGAGGACTGAATCTGCTCTTCTCTCTCTTCTTTCCCCTCCAGGTTTCTCCTCCAGTGTTTGGAAGACCTGGACGCCAGCCTACGGAAGCTTAACTCCCGCCTTTTTGTCATCAGAGGCCAACCGGCCAACGTGTTCCCGCGGCTATTTAAGGTCAGCATCGGGCAGGAAAATGAAAAAGCATTTTGTAGCTTTTTGTTGCTTTAGTTTTTGTAAATAGACTCGAGGGATAGTTGTCACTTTTTGAAGATGAAACTCAAACTCTCGTCTTCTTCTCTGTATCAGGAGTGGAAGATCTCGCGGCTGACCTTTGAGTACGACTCCGAGCCTTTCGGGAAGGAGAGAGACGCCGCCATCAAGAAGCTGGCCATGGAGGCCGGGGTAGAGGTCAACGTCAAGATATCGCACACCCTCTACGACCTGGACAAGTGAGGAAATCACACACACACACTCATGCAACAGTTCACGGGTCATGGTTGTTCTCAGGAGGCGGGACATGATGTTTGAATTCACTTTAATTGGATAATTATTTGACCCTGCCCAGGATCATTGAGCTGAATGGCGGGCAGCCTCCTCTCACCTACAAACGTTTCCAGACCCTCATTAGTCGCCTCGATCCTCCTGAGATGCCCGTGGAGACGCTGTCGGAATCCCTGATGGGGCGCTGCGTCACTCCCGTCTCCGATGACCACGGGGACAAGTACGGGGTCCCGTCCCTGGAGGAGCTGGGTGAGCATATGTTTCATAATGCATGAAACAGAAAATCACACACACACACACACACACACACACACACACACACACACACACACACACACACACACACACACACACACACACACGATACGTTCAAAAAGTCTCAAACAAAAATGAGAATCTCTTCCTCTATTCACCTCGTTTGCTCATTCATCCTGCCGCTTGAAAGGCACGGCTCCTCTAAAGCCTCACTATTGGATTACTCAGGTCACACATCCGACCTGATTGGTCTCCTTCCAGATGTCGAGTTTCCATTCACAAAAAGGTTAACGCTTTGCTCGTGTGCTGTAGCCATCTGCCGCCTACACCTGTGCAACTATTCCAAACACTGCACAAATCAGACACTAGAGGTGTTCAACTTCAAGAAGAAAAAATCTATAAGTGTCCGTGCACGTGTGCGGCGTCTTCACCAGACAAGCTGTTGTTTGTCCTTTTAATAACATGTTAACCCTCTTACACTTACACCGTCAAGATGCCGAGTTTTTCCATTCACACTCGCACAGCTCTGCAGACATCTGCCCCCCCCCCATTTCATTTTAACAAACATGTTTGAATGAATCAAAAAAGAAACTATCTCCAAGAAAAGAAGCAGCAACTTTAGAAATGAATACACAGACATACATACACATCAAAACAATGAAATAAGAGAGAGAAAAAATTAAATAAATAAATATTTTTAAAAGAAATTAAAATTTTAAATTAAATACATTTAAATAAAAAGAAAAAATTAAAATAAAATAGAAATCAAACAGATGTTTCAGTATTTAGCATAGAAAACATGAGATTTGTGCATGAAAGACACAAAATGATCGATTGAACATCTTGGATAGATTCTGGACTATTCAAGGAGTCGTCAAAGCAACACGCTTAGACGCAGCCTGATGTGCTTTGTTGTCGTCATCAGCAGGTCGGAGCGTATCCTGACCGCCTCGGTGAAATGATTTGTTGTATAAGATTTTAATCTGATGTACATGACATAACTGACTCTCAGATTGTTGACTTGAGCGACACGAGGAGTGCATAAAGTGCTACAGAAAGCAGAGAGATAATCTGGATTTTTTTGTTTGTTTTTCAGGCTTTGACATCGAGGGTCTGCCTACAGCTGTGTGGCCAGGAGGAGAAACCGAGGCTCTGACGAGGATAGAGCGCCATCTGGAGAGAAAGGTCGGTACTACAGCTCACCAAAACTTCAATCACAGCACGGTGCAAAAGTCCAAATGACACCCATCTTTATCACTCTGTCTCTTTATGATGATACGACCAGATCTGTTTGACCTGTTGCCCTTGCAATATTTTTTACCTTTGCAATAGTTAAATTTCCATCTGTGCAATACATAATGCCCGATGATGGACTCTACTCTGTCTCCATTAAATGCCCATGTCTCTCCGTCTCTTGCAGGCTTGGGTGGCCAATTTCGAACGCCCCAGGATGAACGCCAACTCGCTGCTGGCCAGCCCGACAGGCCTCAGCCCCTACCTGCGCTTCGGCTGCCTCTCCTGTCGCCTCTTCTACTTCAAGCTCACCGATCTGTACCGAAAGGTTAGAGTAGCTATTTGTCTGGGAAAATAGTTGCTCGCAAACCTCCTCTCAGCATGATAGATAAAATTGTGGTAGGAATGATCACGGCATGTTTTTAAACCGCTTAACAAAATGTACAAAGGAATATTTATGTATGGTAAGAATCAAGTCAGAGCCTAAAGAGCTCTTTCCCCTCAAAGGAAACAAAAATTACAAGTTTGAATCTTTTCTTATTTGGAGATGACGGAATAACTAAATTGAGATCTCTAGAAAACAACCAAAATTAGAGACTGGACCGATCCGATCTTACATCTGTATCGGGTCAGATATTGATGTAGTTTACATATCGGACTAACAGCGCCGATCCAAGTCACAGATTAAGAACGATCGTTGGTCACTATTTTTTTCTACTATTTTTTGCATAAATCTCTTAAACAACTCCAGCCCTGCTCAAAAAATATCAAATATTGAGTAATTATCAGGAATTTAACCCTTTAAATGCCAGTTTGATTACATGATTCTGGTATTTAAAGGGTTAAATTCCTGATAATTATTATCAAATACTGATGCATGAGGGTTAAACATTCTCAACTCAGAACAGCAAGATGTTGTAAATTATTTTTAAAAAAAGGAAGTAAAGATGATATTACTGACGGACATAAATAAACATATTTGACCTTTGACCTCTGCAGTTTGACTGTTGGTTCATCACCGGGTGTTTTAACGATCTTTCCTGCGTTGGTTTCTTCCAGGTGAAAAAGAACAGCTCCCCTCCGCTCTCTCTCTACGGCCAGCTGCTGTGGCGGGAGTTCTTCTACACGGCGGCGACCAACAACCCGCGCTTCGACAAGATGGAGGGCAACCCCATCTGCGTCCGCATCCCCTGGGACAAGAACCCCGAGGCGCTCGCCAAGTGGGCCGAAGCCAAGACGGGCTTCCCCTGGATAGACGCCATCATGACCCAGCTGAGGCAGGAGGGCTGGATCCACCACCTGGCCCGGCATGCCGTGGCCTGCTTCCTCACCAGGGGGGACCTGTGGATCAGCTGGGAGGAAGGGATGAAGGTGAGGAAGCGGGATTTGAACAGTGGAGGGCGAGGAGGGTCAAAATGTCTCCTAAAAGAAAGTCAGTCATTGGATGGATTTTTGTGTCCCAGGTCTTCGAGGAGCTGCTTCTAGACGCTGACTGGAGTGTGAACGCCGGCAGCTGGATGTGGCTGTCCTGCAGTTCATTTTTCCAGCAGTTTTTCCACTGCTACTGCCCTGTGGGCTTCGGCCGGCGCACCGACCCCAATGGGGACTTCATTAGGTGGGTACCTTTCCTCGCATCGCCCATTGGTTACAGCTGCTGACCCACCACCTGGATGGCACCCTTCCTCCCTCTGTCTCTCTGGAGTACTCACATGTAAGGGGACACATCGAGAACCAAATCCACTCATACAGAATTAGAGCTGAGTCGCCACTGAGGAGGGGTTTAAAAGGGGGGGCGGAGAGAGGAACCGAGACCAAGACACACCCTAGACCAGAGTACTCCGAGACAGAGACAAGACCAAGAGATTTAGGGATCGAGCCAAGACAAGACCAAGACAAGACCAAGACATTTAGGAATCAAGACCGAGACAAGACCAAGACATTTAGGAATCAAGACCAAGACAAGACCAAGGCAGACCGAGTAAAAATGCTTTTGATTCCAAGACGAGACTGAGACCTTCAAAAAGTGGTCTCAAGACCAAGACCAATTTCGAGTACTACAACACTAAAGCAGAATCTTTCAGGGAAAGTCTTCATATATTCTCAAGGTAGCCTATTATTAGTTCTGACAGAATAAATACTTCAATGTGAAAATACTAGAAATGGGAAAACAACCAAGAGGCACACACAGGTCATAAATGAGGACACATAACCCGAGACAGGGAGAGAGATGGAGGGATCAAGGGGGACCACCAGGTCTTTGGGTAAGTGAAAGACAAAGAACATTCATTCCCTTCCCTCTTCTTCTTCTTCTTTTTTTTTTTTTTTTTTTGTACCTGTCTGTCCATGTTCCTTTCTGTTTAAACTTCAGCACTTTAGCTTTTTGGAATCAGGCATGTCTTGTTATAATCTCACAGTGTTATTCTTTGCGTACCTTTTTTTTTTTTTGTGTCTGTGAATGTCCCTTTTGGTGATTGTGTGCACGTGCAGTCCTCTTTTTTAATTCACATTTATTGTTGCCAGTAGATGAATTCTTCTCTTTCTCTCGGTGTGTGGCTCTGTGTTTGTGATTTTTGGCTCATCTGGTTTTTTGGGGGGGGATTGGGGGAAGAGTTCAGCTATCCCTCTCTGCCCTTTTGTAGATTGTAGTTGATTGCTTTTAAGTTGAATGGCCGTGCCCACGCCCCACCCACCCTATCCCCCGCCCCCACCATCCAGGTGCAGCCTGGTCAGGGCTGCCTTGGATGGAAGTCAGGGGGGAACGAGTTGATAAAATCGGTGGTGGTGTGCTTTTTTACTTGACTGTGAGACCCTCAGGGACGGGGGGGCCCCAGCAGCACCCTCTGGGCAGGTTTGTGACTCGGTGGCGTCTCATTACATCAAAAGGGATTCTGACCGCTTCGTAGGGAAACGCACACGCCTTGCCTGCATTCCTTTACGTAGAGGACCTTAAAGCATTTCCCAAAGGGAAGTGAGGAGAGGCGTTCGGACCGACTCCGTGCCACCGCAGGCGTGCTGGGAGCCGGTCCGTTGTCCAGACGCTGGACGAAGCCCCTCGTCCGACCCTTTGTGAAATGTTCAGAGGTGCTCTGCTTCTGTGAATGCAGCCCTGCCAGGTTCAGGTGGACCTGGAGCCGGGGCTGGTTCATATAGGCACTCCAGAACACACACACACACACACACACACACACACACACACACAAGCGCTTACCATACAAGTAGAGGACTAACGGTCTATACTTCTCAAGTGTGGCCTTGTCTTTCTGGTCATTTTAAAAATACAAAAAAGTAATACCACATTTACTTGTGATGTCTTTAACCATAATATTACTTCAAATTTCAAGTTTCTAAGAGTGGACTTGCAGGCTTGAGACATGTCTTCTTAGGCACTGATGAACAGACACACACACAAACACAAAGATTTCATTGACACGCCTTCCAAACACTGCCATGCACAGAATGCATTCAAAGCAATCTGGATGCTCGCACACACACTCTGCAACAACACCACACACTGTCCTCTGTAGGACCGCTTGTTACTGGCAGGTCGTGGAATCTTCCTGGCTATAAGGGTTGTAGTCCCTGTTGGTGAAATGAGGGGGGTCCCTTAGTGGGCCAGCCCAGAGCGTGATGCTGTGGTTTGTGGAAAGGGGGGGGAGTCAGCAAAGAAGGGGGCGGGGCTCTGGGCGTGCTGACCACTTAAAAGACAACCACCACAGTCTGAGGGACCAGGGGAGCAGGCATGACCTCTTCTCTTATTCCACCACTGTCTGATTATTGGGGAGGGGGGTAAAGAGGGAGGGAGGGAGGGGGCGGGCCTGGAGCTGTGAGGTATAATGGAAGACTTCTGTCGTCGACCAAGAACTTTAAGTTTAATTATTTTTGCAGACATTTACCTTAAGATGCTTTAGCTACTGACTAAAAGTAACATTTTGTGAGGATGAAGTAGAGAGTAGAAGAGATCCCTCAATGGCAGAACTTCTTCCACCATACACCTGCTCCGGTCTGGGTTGGATGGCAGCGTGGGGGGGGGGGGTGTGTGTGAGGGTCAACACACTCTGCTTTCTAACTGCGTGTTACAGTAGACGTCTCCTAGCATCATCAAGCAAAGCGGCGGTGAACTCTCTCTAGTGACGGGGGGCGGTCTCCTTGAGAAGGCGGCGAGCCGTCATGTCATGCCCTCGCCCTTCCTACTCCCCCCTCACCCACCCACCTCTCCACCCATCCCCCCCCCAACTCTCCTCTCTCTCTCTCTCGGTGCACTGTGTCACTTCCACAGCTCCACTTGCTCTCACCTCTCCCCCACTCCTTTGCCTCCCTCTGCCCCCCTCCCCTACCCCAACCCCCCTCTCCTCGGACTCGGTAAGGTGGGACCATGTTCAGTAGGTAGGTGGCTTCTCTTTGTCACACAGAGAAAATCCACGACAGGCCAAACTTCAGCAGGGTTATGAGATGACCTCTTGGAGGATCCGGTGTGACTTAACTCTCTCTGTGTTGTTGTTTTGGGACCACAGCCCCCCTCATTTTGTTTTTATATTTACCTCGTTGTGATCTGTAGTCCTCTTTGGGATGCTAACTCACCTCAGTGCCAGAATCTGCAGAAGACTGTACTGTAGCCACACTGTGCAGTGTTGTTGCTTGGTTTGCAGCTTTCATTTTTGTAGCATCTACAAAATCTATAAAACCCAGAAGCATGAAGTGCTGAAGACCAGCATGCTTTTATCAGTCACAGTACATCCACAGTCTGTAAACACACAATAACTCAGTTCTAATGCCTTCAATGTCAAAGATTTAACCCCATTTTTTTAACGAGTTGTTTTAAAAGAAAACCTTTTTTTTTTTAGCAATCCCTGCATCTCCCCCCAACCACTGATTATAACTCTGCAACCTTTAACATCGTGCAGACGCAAGACAGCGAATCTAATGTCTCCCTGTGCTTCCAGACGATATTTACCTATCCTCCGAGGTTTCCCCGCTAAGTACATCTACGACCCGTGGAACGCCCCGGAGTCAGTGCAGGCGGCCGCCAAGTGCATCATCGGCGTCCACTACCCGAAGCCCATGGTGCATCACGCGGAGGCGAGCCGGCTCAACATCGAGAGGATGAAGCAGATCTACCAGCAACTTAGCCGATACAGAGGACTGGGTAAGGACCTGCAGACATTCTAGACGCTCATTCAACATGTTGGCTAAATAGAGAAATATAGAAAACAAGCTGTCCCTAAATTCTTCCTGCCAATGTAGCAAAACGTTACACAACCAAGCGTCAACGTCCATAGTTAAAAAAAAGTACAGCCAATGCAGAAGTGCAAACAACTGCAGTTCCTCGAGTGTCCACTTGAGGCTGACTGCAAAAAGCCAAGGTCCCATATGTTAACATTATTGTTCAAAAACACTTTGGGGTTACACTTTATAATAACCATCATTTATAAAGGGTAAATAAGGGTAAATAGATAGTTAATTAACCATTAGTTAATAGTTATTTACTGTTAACAAACAATGAAATGATAGTTAATAATGTTTGCTTTATTAAATATTTACAAACCATGAACAAATATCTGGTCCATGTGTCTCTGTAATGTTTATAAATGTTTTATAAACCATCTCTTAAAGGTGTATAAATCATTTGGTCATCATTAACGAACACTTTATAAAGTGTATGAAATGTTATAATATGTGTATCAATAAACTGTTAACATAACATCAATTAAAGCATAACAAATCATTAGCAAACATTATTAACTATAATTTCATTATTTGTTAACAGTAAATAACTATTAACTAATGGTTAGTTAACTATCTATTTACCTTTATTTACCCTTTATAGATGATGGCTATTATAAAGTGTTACCCAGTTTAGGTCTCAATTGCTCATTTATGAATTACTAAGAAATGCTTTGAGGTTTCGTTTTTCCCTAACCCGTCTTGCTCTCTGGTCTTTCAGGCCTGCTGGCCTCTGTGCCTTCCACCAATGGGAACGGGAACGGAGGAATGATGGCCTACTCTCCAGGAGAGCAGCAGCCAGGGACCAACAACAACAACAGCTCACATTGTAAGTCACTTTTATTTAATCGAAGATGTCCATATTTTCTTACACATCTTCTCCCAAGGCGTCGTTGGTTAAAAAAAATTAAATTAAAGTAAATCTTTCTTTGTGTGTGATCTCGTCTCAGTGCCTGGAGGGTCGTCGGGGAACTCCGTTGCTACAGCTAACGGCAGCGGGAGCATCCTACTCAACTTTGATCATGAAGAACATACCGGACCCAGCAGCGCTGCACAACAGCAACGACTACAAGCACTCCCACAACAACAACAACAACAACAACAACAACAACAACAACAACAACAACAACAACAACAACAACACCAACAGCAGCAGCATCAACAGCATGGTAGGTCACGACCTCTGATAAACCTGTTTTCTACCTAAATACTAGGACAGCTGGAACACATTTAAGGTGATTTTTTTATTCTTCATTAAAGGAAGAATGTGCAACTTTTTGATCCAGTAGATGTCGCCCTTGAGCACCAGCATAAAAACAAAACAAACAGCTGTTTGGCCACGCCTCCTCTCTCCTCCAGAGACACATCTCCAACCCCCCCCCTCTCCTCGCGTTCACATGAAGGAGTTGTCAGTTAGAACTCACATAAATTAAGCAGTCATTACATGACACCACTCTTCTTCTCACTAGTTCTTGACTAAAACAGCTTTTATAGGGGGGGAGCCGGCCGTCCCGTCCATGTAAACACGGCTCTGACAACAACAAAGCTGGCAACACTCAACGCTTCTGACTCATTGTAGACAGTCATGATTATTTAGTCATGGTATTTACACAGGATAGACTTCAGTTCTGATATATTGATGTGTAAAATGTTGCACATTCTTCCTCACAAGGCAGCACATTTTCTACACAAACAGTATTTTATAACTCAGCAGATGCTGTGTGAACATTTACAGCCAGAGGGTTTATTGTGACTTAGGGAGAGAGCTTTCACCTGTTGCTTACGCCAAATGCATCTTGTAGGCTTATGTTGCATCGCCCTCTAGTGGACAGGATATGTAACAACCACAAACTGACAGTAGTATTTGCATTGCTGAAGCCTCTAAACCAGTGGTTCTCACAATAAATAATATAATATTTTATATGTGAAGAAATCTCCACAATATAAAAAACAAACCCGTTCAGCATAAAACGACATTTATTTTTTTGTCGTACTCTTATCTGTCTTGTATCTATTGGGTTGTATTTATATCAAATGTGTTTTCCCCTCTAAATTAATCTAGTTTTTGCAACAAACAACTTTAATTTATGCTCGCACTCAGACATAAACAACAACAGGAGTACGCCTCACGTTTTGAAAAGTTCCACTCGATATTCTGTTATAGTTCAGTCCTGAATCAACAGCAAGCAGCTGTAGGTCTACATTAACAGATATTCTGTTATTTATTGGAGTTCAGCACACAATCGGCAGCAAGCAGCTGTACAAAACGGAGCCAGGAGAAGCTTCAGTTTTGATGCATGTACGGACAGCAGACCTTATCGCTCCCCCTCCCTCTATCTCTCTCTCTGGAGCTCTGAAGCTGATGTGATTCTGCTCTCTTTTGATGTCTTAACACTCCGTAGGAGTCGAGAGGGATTTTTTTTTTAAAAAGGCAGTTTTGCTACGTTGAACACAGAGACTTATAATAAAGCGGCGCTGTTTGCACGGAGCCTGCAGAGCGCGCGCCTGCACTCTCACGCACTCTCTCTCTCTCTCCCCCGCTCTCTCTCGTTCTCTCAGGCACGCAGCAATTTTATGAATAAATTAAAAATTAAATAAGAACAGGTTGGAAATATACTTGGGCCCAGGTATCGTGTTTGTGTGGGAAACACTGGAGACTAAATATTTCCAAACAGGTAGTTGGTATAAAGTTGTCATTTTTATTGTTCTGCACTTTTGTGTGTGCATGTTCTAGGCTAGCCCTTAGTAGGCCTACAGTGTGGCTGCCAGCAGTCAGTAATAAATAATATTATTTTTATTAATTAATTTGCCTCTTGCATGAAATGTGTGTAGAAATAGGCCTACAGTGTATTTTAACATCTACCATAATGGTGGTACTTGGAGAGCCAAATATTTTCGGAGGTGGTACACAGTCTAAAAAGTTTGAGAACCACTGACCTAAACAATAACAGATCATAATAATAACTGATAAAATGATGAGGTATGACATTCAAATCAGATTTTTTTGAAGGAAATGTTCATCTTTTTGTGCACATGTTTGGTAAATGTGGCTTTTTAAGGAGTAGATTAAGTATATTTTAAAGCCCTCAGTTTGACCGCTTGTGTTCTGTGTGTGCTGCAGGATACCACTCAGTGCCAGACGCCAGCCAGACCGTCACCAACAGCCGACTCTACCACGAGTTTGCTGTGCCTCAACACCCGGGTAGGAATCATTTAAATGGAATCATACATGCTGACAAGATGCTTTTAAAATAAGCTGCAAAAAAGTTGTCGATAAAGAAGCAACAGATTTTGTCATATAAGAAAAGGTGAAATCAATTAAAACACTTTGATCAGTTGGTGACTCGGCAGTTTCACATCAACCTGTTCTATTTCTTAATCCTCCACCCACACCAGCACTTTGTCTTAACACGTTGTCCCCCCCCCCCCTTTCTCTCTCTCTTCTCACTGACACATGCAGGCCTCCTCTTGCACACCAGAAGCGGCATCACAGGAAAGAGGGAGCGCGAGTCGGAACGCGAAGGCTCGGGGGAGAAAGACCACATGACGTCGTGCTCCGTGCACAAGATGCGGCGGCAGAGTGCAGAGGTCAGAACGCCCGCTCAGACTACGTTTCATGTGATGCAACTACTCTGATCTAGAAAAACTGTACTGATGAGTCAGACCCAGAGTATAAGATATGAAATCATCCAACAAACACTCTCATGGTATTAATTTCTGAAAAGTGGAATTAACGGTTCTTCTTGAACTCGTTATGACATTGCACAAAAATAGACACCTGAGTATGGCAGCCGATGAATACAGAATGCATAATAAACCTTGAGTGTGCAGGTTTTCTGACGCCACTCGTGCATGTCGCCCTTTACACTCTTGAGTTAGGAATGTGCTTGTAGAGGTGAGCCTGTTTTTTAATCACCGCGTTGTATGTACATCTTTGTCCAATAAATTACAAAGGAGGCGAAAAGCTCACGCATCACACAGCTTTACACAAATGTAATCACACATGCAGCATGTCGGGTTCTGCTTCGGTGCAGACTGTGGGCTGTGTAAATGTCAGCCCCCCCCCCCGTGTTTACATGAGAATATACAAAGCAGCGTTCGCTTTCTATATGCAAAGCGGCGGACGGAGTAAACAGCATAATCTTTGGAAAGGGACAGTGCAGGAAAAGGAGGCTTCCCCCGCTGGAGAGTTTTTTTTACATGTTTAAAGGGTATCGATGAGAGCTCATCTAGATCTGTAGCCAGAAGACTAGAAAAGGACTTTACAAGCTCAAGTCCATTCACCGTTTATATGCTTCATATTTGTACAGATGTAAACAAATTGTGTCTTTTCTCCTTTTCTGCAGACTACTTAAGAGTGGGCGTCTGCGAGACCACCTTCAATCCACGTTGGAGTCACCACCCGGCCAGCCGCCAACGAGCGAAAAAGAGAGAGAGAGGAAATCCCACCATCGCCCCACCTGTCCTCCAATCACACGCCACAGCTCCCTCAAGGGACCGCCTCCTCTTCAAACGCTGAACATTTTAAAACTCTGAACTCTGTTTTTCATTGCAGAAACTCCCCGGGGTGAAAACGCAAAGGTGAAAATGTGTTTTTGTCAACACTATTTTGTAGAGGGGGGGTTAACCAACGACCTCTGACCTCTGACCTCTGACCTCTTACAGTCGAACAAAAAAAACGCCTCAAACTTGCAGCTCGGCACATGTTTTGTAAAATATGAATAAATATTTTAAAAAAGAACGTTGTTGTCTTAAACTGCCACCAGCAGCAGCCGGTATCTGCTGTGATGTCTGACGCAGCTGCAGATGTGAGTCGTCTTAGATTTAGTCGCTCCATCGTGTAAAAACAGGCGGATGTTGGCGAGGGTTTCCAATACGGTACATCCATGATTTTCTACATTAGCCGGACACTTCTTTACACAAAAGTGACAACTGATGGGTTTTCTGGGATCGTCTATCACTGCCTGAATGGAGCGTTTTCACATCACTCTGTGTGTTTGTAACCCGCCAAACCAACCACAGAAACCTCTCCATGCACTTCTTTAGTTGAAGCGCACAGTTTTACTGTTTGAGTATTTTAAATCACGTTTACAGGCCGTTGTTTTTGTCGCTGGCTGTCCGAACACTGCCTTTTCGTAAATGTGGCATTATGGGTAAACGAGTCCTTCTGCAGCTGTAATTGTAGTCCTGTTACTGCGACGTCCACAAGCTGAATTTTCTTCTTATATTCTGTTTTCAGCATTCGGTTCTGAGCCCTCAGTGATTTAAACATCGAACATGTGAAGCGGGCTCTGATCTGAACGCTCAGAGAGAAGTGAAGGGTTCAATTCATCTTTCATTTGTTTCTGGACGTTATAAATCGTGCACAGATCGTTCAAAGTCTTGAGTTCTCTTTGGCTTGACTTTGAACCCCCCCCCTCAAAGTCAAACACATTTTCACCTTTCCGCCCCCCCCCCATCTCGTCTAAGGATTGGGTTTCTGTCGAAAAACAACAACGTTATGTGGAATAGCAGAGAGAGGATTAACGTCTTGTCGGAACATGGCGGCGAGGCAGGTGGCTGCAACCTCCTCTCAAAAAGGTGTACAATACTTTTCTTTTTTTTAAGATTTCTTATAAAACAAAAAAAACAAAAAACTTGCTGAAGCAAAAATGGTGGGGGACAAAAAACACACTAGAAGACAGGGGACGCCGTCTTCTCCAAGTGAGCCGAACTACTTTCTGTGATGGAAACAGAAACCAACATTCCCCATGAGAGCAGCGCAGCCTCCCCGACGAAGGATTTCTGCTCCCGAACAAGGAGTTCAACAAACATGAACGTCGGGGAGGCTGGGTCGACATTTTGCACAAACCAGGAAGTGAATGGCAGAACATTGAACTGGATCTCAGTTGTTGCACAAACATGAGGAAGGGTTGCAAAATGCTCGCCACAGTTTGCGCGTCAAAAGGAGGAGGAGGATTGTGCAACAGCGCTGGACAGATAAAGACGGTGTCTTATTTTTTAGTTTCAGTCCCCCTCTCTCTCCACTGTCACCTTTTCCTGCTGGTGAGAAGAATTCAGTCAATGTTGAAGCGGAGAATGTATGAATCCCTTTGTAAAATACACCCATGCCCATGTTTTTAACACGCACACGCACACGCACACGCACACACAATACAACGTTTACAGATAAAACATGAAACTCAAAACACATTTATCCTCACTGGAATCTGACAAACACACCAGTTCCTTCATTCTGATCTGTCCTCCTGTCTCTATCTTTGTATTATATTGTCGTTTATTTTTTTTATTCTTACTATGTGGAGAAGGATCCAAAGTAACCGTTTGAAGTTTTACCTTGAGATGAAAACTTGTTCGCAGCTGGATATTTTTTTAGCAGCACACAAAGACAGAGTCACACGACATCACATACGAGACACAGACATGAAAAACATAACTTTAAAGCTTCTCTCTGAAGTCTGCCCGGTTACACGTTATAAACACAGATTTGAAGCAGATCAGAGGGTAGAGGCTCTGTATGTTGGGGGGTTATGAGTGCAAACACACACACACACACACACCCACACACACACACCCACACAAGATTGTTTTCATGGGAAACTCCTGAAACACACGCAGCTACAAATACCTGAAAAACCCTGATCAAAGCGTGGAGATGTAGAGACATGTTTAAACGAAACCCATATTACACACACTCACACCCTATTCCTCACATACACACACATCACGTTCCTCACATACACACACACACATGCGCTCACACACACACACACACACACACATGCGCACACACACACACACACACACACACACACACAGACATGCACACACACTAAGCCTTCTTAATGGTCATACAGGAGAGTTTCTTGCAGTCTGCTTAAAGCCTCAATCTGCATTTAGAATCTATAAAAGCAGTTTAACTGCTCTGTAAAAAAAAATAAACAAACACTAATTTCTGCAAACGGTTGAACAATGATCGGCTTCTTTTTTTTTTTTTTTTCAAGCTGTACATTTTGTATTGACCCGTGTTTTGAGAGCCATGCTCCAAAGGAGGAGAGGATTCTGAAAGGGTGCCTCGCTGACCTCATGTTGAACACTTCTTTCTCACTGTTTGTAGATTCTGTAAAAAAACAAATCCACTCAAATCAAAGAGTACAGGCAGATCTGTAGCCCGCTTTCTGATGTGAAATTTAACACTCACGACACCAAATCAAAGATGTAAGACTCCCAGCATTGACCTAATCATCATTTACACACTTCTTGGGTTTGTTTATTCTCCTGTATTGAATTGATATTGACTTTTTTTTGTTATGCAACGCTTGCAGATTGGGGCTGTAGGTGTGAATGACGTTTTTTTCAGTGGAGCCGAGATGACTCAGTACTTTTGATCACCTCATGCTGCCCTCTGCGTCAGGAGAAATGATACTTCAAACGGGGGGAGTTGGAGATGGAAAAAGTATTGTATTGTTTCTGTATTATATTTCTGTCATTGTTAGTTTTTTTCCATCACAATGGAGGAGGGGAAAAAACAAGTTGAACCAAGTTTTTTTTTTTCTTTTATTCCTCGCTTTATTTTTGTCCGTTTCGCTTCGTTTTTCGCCTCAGGCGACATGAAGGTGAGAACAGATGCCATCTATCATCTCTGTTCTGTCAACGCTCTGTCTCTCCTTGTGTTGTGCTTGATCAAGTTCATGACAGGAAAATAATAAAAAAATTGTTACAATTTGACGCTGTGTTTGTTTCTCGTCTTCTTCATCCCGTGTGTCCATGGCGCCAGTTTGCTTTGAACTGAGTGGATGAGCTGCTTAGGCTACAATTCTACAATTCACTTAGCGGACGCTTTTTATCCAAAGCTGAACATTACGAGAGTGTAGTACAACACAGGCAAGGATCTAGAGAGGAGGATGGAGACAACGTCAGGAAGTGAGAAAATGAACAGCTTTGAGTCTGATCAGACACACAGGAGCTGACAGGAAGTGACCAGAGGCAAAGCACGTTATCGACAGCTGTTCTGGAGAGTTCTAATCAGTATAGAAACCATCTTAAGATTGTCGTTATCAAACAAAAACCATCGTCATTACCATCATCATCATTAAGGTTGTATAGGTGTTCATAAAGAGCTGGGTCTTAATTTTTTCTTAAAGGTGCAGAGGGACTCTGCAGATTGAATGGAATTTGGTACTTCGTTCCACCACCGGGGGGCGACAGAGGAGAAGAGTTTAGTTAGACACCTTTCATTGGGGCGGCAGTCGGTCAGTCTGTAGGGACTTGGGTTGGGAATCAGAGGGTCACCTGGTTCAAGTCCTGGTGCGGACACAAATACGGAAGATGGTCTGGTAGCTGGAGAGGTGCCAGGGCACCTACCAAGTACTGCTGAGGTGCCCTTGAGCAAGGCACTGAACCCCCATCTGCTCTAGTGCCCTCCCTGTGTAGCAGCCCCACTCTGACATCTCTCCATTAATGCATTGAGTAGCTCAGTCTCTAGGGACTTAGGTTGGGAATCAGTGGGTCACCAGTTCAAGGACCAAAATCCGGAGAATGGTCTGGTAGCTGGAGAGGTGCCAGTCCACCTCCTGATCTCTGCCGTGGTGCCCTTGAACAAGGCACAGAAACCCCAAAAATTGCTCTGGAGGCCCCCTCACGCTGAGACACATGAGACCTCTCCATTAACGCATGTCCACAGATCCTGTTTGTGCATGACTGACTCTCAGGCCCGCGTGTGACGGAGGTGTGTGGGTGTCTGAATCAGGGTGAGGGCATGGATGGATTATTAAGGATTAATAAGTGAGTATTTTGTATTTGTTTCCGGACCTCATGAGAAACCAGTGGATGATCACATTTTGTTGAGATAAGGGGCTCATGCGAATGGCTTGCTTGCGTAGGTGACGCAGTGTAAAACCATAATTTCCCCCCCGGGAATTCAAAAAGAAAAATTTAAGAGGAAAATTGGCAGAGCGGAGTGGTTGGGAGGGAGTGACAGCAGGGCCAGTGGAGGTGGATGGGGTTATGTGCTGCCGGGTCTTGGTGCGGGTGAGGACTCTGGCAGTGGAGATTTGGACTTATTGGAGCCTGTCCAGGGCTTGTCTCTGGTGAAACTAAAATCTAACGAGTATTGCACAAACTAAGATCATAATGGATAATAATTCAAAAGAAGACTGGATAGGTTTTTTTTTTGGGTTCATACTCATGCATGTAAACTGACATGAGGCCTGCAGTGGAGCCTTGGTTGCAGATTAACACTTGTCTTGAGTGTAGGCGGGAAACTTGTATGTATTTTGATGAAGTTATTTACTTGATTCTAAAGGACATCCTGCAGTGAAAGTTCAAGATCTGCAGGTCATCTCTGACTCAAACACTAAACAACCTGAATGCTTTTGTGTCTGTGTGGGCAAATAGTGATAAAGTGCGGTGGAACTGCTTTTCTTAGTGTGGGTGTTTGTGGAGGGATTCCTACATTAAAACAGGCAATACTCCCTGGTTTATGGATAAACAGCCTGAGTACACAACAACAGCTGTGTGGAATACACTTTGCATGCAGTGTGTGTGACCTTAGTCTGTTCCACTCTGACACTCTCTCGTACTTTCTCCATTTTACTATCCTGTTTGCCTTTGATTATGCAAAAGCGACAAACCACCCAAGGTCTTCCCCAGGAATTCCCCACAATAGAAGGTATTAAAAAAGGCGAGTTTAACACATGATCACAACACAAAGACTATGACGTCAAAACGAAAGGGTGAAATTGAGGATTAGTTGCAGAAACTTTCAACAGCTGCCCACTTTCACAGAGCCATTTCATTTGTGTTATTTTGAAATGACCTCTGTTTGACAGAGTCTATTGTATCTGGCTAGGTGTTGCAGAAGTCAAAACATGAGGTGAGGTAGTATCTTATTAAAACTTAATACCTCAGGCAAAGCAAGGGAAGACATGTTCACAACCCCCGGAAATAAACAAAGGAGAAAGAAACGCCTCCGCATTAGTCATAACGATCATGCTGTTTGCTGAAAGGCAATATCTAGTCAGTTCTATAAATCACTTTCTCCTCATCTCAGTCAGTTTGGAATTTTTGTGGTTTTGGGTTTTGTGATGGAATCAGTGCAGATTACAGAGTCTGTTGTAGCCCTGTGCAAAAATCAATTGGGGAACCCTCCAACCAGCGTTCATCATCATCATCATCGTCATCATCTTCTTGCCTGTTTAATTTTTTTTCCTTTCTTCTCTTCCTCTTCATCTTTCTTCGTTCACTTTCATTGATGAACTTTTGTTTCCAAAGCAATAATGCATGGGACACTTAGCAGGGCAACAAGAGTGAGTGCTGTCTGATGGGGCCCCCTTAGGGAGGTTTCCTACTGTCGTTGCAAAATTTGTACATTTTGGGAGGCTGCTTTGGTTTAAGTTTGTGAGCCCTCAGGGGAACCCCTTTTGGGCGCCTCTTGCTTGAATGTGAACAAACAAATAAAGAGGCTAATTCTTCTATCAGGTTTTTGAGAATCAACTTATTTCTTGCAACCATTGGGGTCGCTCCATGCTGACCATTGCTAAGAACGGCATCTGCATTGGTGGTTTTTGAAACGAGAGGCTACGTCAACTTAAATACAATCTATGCCAGTGGTTCTCAACTCGTCTAGCCTCAGGACCCACAAACAATTCCTCAGAAAAATCGCGACCCAAATGTCAAATATTTTTCAACCAGATTTATTTCCTGAAAAATTGTGCAGTTTGGACCTCAGTCGGTACGAACCATCTGACTGAATCAGTTCAGAGACTTTTTTCAATTCAGTGTGGCTGTATATCTGGTGTCTACTGAATTACTTACGTACTATCGAATTCCTGCTGACTCAAATATGATGCACTGCTTGTGATTTTCCAGTGTCCATAAAATGTGTCCATAAACACATCTATGTATGCTAACCCTGTGCAGTACTGCTTACAAAAACACATCTATGTATGCTAACCCTGTGCAGTACTGCTTACAAAAACACATCTATGTATGCTAACCCTGTGCAGTACTGCTTACAAAAACACAACTATGTATGCTAACCCTGTGCAGTACTGCTTACAAAAACACATCTATGTATGCTAACCCTGTGCAATGGTATGTGCACACCCATGTCTGTAGCCTATATGCAAACTATTTGCAGTTACACCAGCACTTTAAAGTTACAGGCTCCATGGCAAATGTGCAAACTACATCACTATGGCATAATCATGTACAGTAAATGTTGCTGTTTGTTTTTTGCTCTTCATTGTGGTTTTATGTAAACATCCTGTTACCAGCTGCATATTTATACGTTAATGTTCATTAATGTGCACTGTCCCTACTTTTTAGTAAATCAAGTAACATTAATTATTTATGCTGTCTAACGATAGCATTACTGACTGATTATCTGCACTCAGCATCTCTTGTTTTACCGGTGATATAACTAGTTATATAGTTAGAACAAAAGAATCTGGGCAAGCTAGCACAGGACAACCCAGTCTCATGTCAAAATGTGTAATACCTACAACGTAGTAGTTTCACAATAAGGGCTCTTTGCGCTGTGGACCAACGTAACTATTACACATTTTGACATGAGACTGGGTTGCACAGGACTAAAACAGGGATTGCGTGCACAGGACAGTGTGGGCGGTAAAACATTTTACCACCACAAGTCAGTTTACAGTGCCAAGGGGGAAAGCCTCTCGTGTGGGCGTTTGTGTGTGGAGGCTTCCCTGAGTCAAATTCAAGGGAAGCCCTTTCTCGCTACGATTTTACCACATGCCCGCCTCAAGGAATTTCTCACTTTTAGTTTCCCTCCTGTTGTAATGCTTTGTGGTTTTTGTTATCTGCACAATCAGGATGACAGTGATGCAATAGGGATAGTCTAAGGTGATACTGGCAGTTTTGTACCTGTATTGTCAGACGTTATGCTGTCTGGCTTTACTATAGGGTAGGCAAATAACACCTTATTGTAAAGTGTTACCTCAGCTACATTTCTGGGGTCACTGGTGGCCTAGTGGTTGGTGTTGGTCCACCATGTGGCCTGGGTTCAAATCCAACCTGTGGACTCTCTCTCTCTCCTCCTGATTCCTGACAACACTGTCTCTAAATGGGAGCATAAAAAGCCCAGAAATATGGGCCTATAGGTGTTCTCTATTGTTCAGATCATATTGAGACGACTTTGAGAGGTCACACTTTGAGAGGTCACACATCTATGAATGAGACGACCACTTACTCTCAACGGGCGCTGAGAGTCAGCAGCCTGTTGCAGCAGCTCCGACTCTTTTTTCTCTATTTCGTCTATTTTCTTGCTTTTATTAAGTATTTTTTTAATGTGTATTTTTGAGCTTTCTTGTCTGTGCTGCTGTAACGCCCAAATTTCCCCTCTGGGGATCAATAAAGTATTATCCTATCCTATCCTATCCTATCCTATCCTAAGTCCATTTAAAGAAGTGGAACTGCGCCTCGTATCGTCTTATCTTTTCCTTACAGCCGAGATCTAAAACAGTGAGACGTCTGTACTCGTCTCGTCTTTTTCTTACAGCTGAGATCTAGACATGATACATCTGTAATCCAAAGAACTTGAATTGTAGACTTGACCTTTACTTTCAGACAAACGTCAGGGCTGGCTGTAGTCTCGTTTTTTTTTTCTTTCAGCTGAGATCTAGACATGATACATCTGTAATCCAAAGAACTTGAATTGTAGACTTGACCTTTACTTTCAGACAAACGTCAGGGCTGGCTGTAGC